TGACGAACACATCCATGCTATATTCCTGGGGACTTGGTCTCCGGGTCATAAAATGGAAACAGTTGAGATCACCATCCCATATACCCATATGTACAAAGCATAGAGAAAACAATTGTCAGGTTATCAGGATAAGCCAAACAACCAGTTGTATGACCATATACTGATTTGCTGGGCATGGTGTGACGAACGCATTCATGCTACTTTGATTTCCTCGGTATTTGTTAGCATCCCTGGGGACTTGGTCTCCGGGTCATAAAATGGAAACAGTTGAGATCCCTATCCCATATAACCATATGTACAAAGCATAGAGAAACCAATTGTCAGGTTATCAGGATAAGCCAAACAACCAGTTGTCTGGCCCGGCAATGGTAACTCATACTGTTCTTAAAGAGATTATCTTGTCATGATTACATTAAATATCCATATGCTTCCCTTTGGTCTGACAGATAGATAACGTCGACAAACATGTCAATTTCTTTAGACTTTATTCTTCAAAACCGTAAGAAACTACAACAACAACATATAACAAAATGTAACAACTGTAAAAAACTACAATAAGACTTGTAAGGTACTTTACGGTATAGTATTGATACATCGCAATTTCGAATTTAATTCACAAATTATACAAGGTTGCATGATGAACACAAGTGGGGATTATAGGTGGACATTTACGGTATTATTGCAGAAGTTCTCAAAGGGAAGTAACTCCAGAACAAGGAACAATCAATTACAAACATCAATTTATTCCTAACATTGATAATTTCCAAGGAACAAAATGACTAGTAGTTTATGCATACTAATGTATGCTATTGTAATAGAGTTTTGCGACAATAGGCGACCAGTGGATAACTAGTGACAAAATTGTGCAAAATTACTATGAAATGTTGCTGCTTGGCATAGTTTGCGACATCATCACATGTATGCATTCATTTTCTAAAGTTTTAGCCACGATGATTACACTGTGTTACTGGCCTGTCAAATCAGTGCCACACTATCGGTCTCTCGTCACTTAGGTAAACAACTTGTTTATCGATACCGGAAACCGGTTTGTGAGATAGCACGCAAGCACACTACAGGTAAATTGGCTTCAGTGAGAGGTCACAGGCCGTCGCGGTTCGGTGCACAAATACAAGAGGTGGACAATACATACGCAAAATGAAAGAGGTGATGCCAATCCCTGATATCTACGTCCGTGGTACTATGTACCGTTTATTTGCATATTTAACACAGTTTTAGTGTATTTGAATGCCCAAACTACCGTGATATAGCCGATTTACAACCAGGTATTTATACATTTGTCAAGTTATTATGTAACCTAATACACATGTAGATTGATAGAGGTGGTAGCCATTTTAAGTCGTTTTATACACAGCAGGTTACATGTTGTTTCGTATAAATGATAATTATTTTGATTTGGTACAGTAAAATTTCACCCATAAAAAGTAGGAACTTAGCATACTTATATACGATTGAAATATTTGTGTGTAATATTTGTCTCCTCTGATTCAAAGTAGTGACATGTCGGGCCATGTCAACATAATTATATTGTTGATATTTCTTTTTAATATCAGATCTGGTGCAAAGGAAGACGCAGTTAGGATTGTATGTGAAGGGTGGTGTAGACGGGAACTGGAAACCTAAATACGTTAGATTAATGATAAATGTCGTTAACACGACTACAAAATACAATAAATCGTTAGAGTGTACATTATGTACCATACGTAGGTCATAGTAATATATTTATGATATTATTTCATACCTATGAAACGGGAAGCATACACATGTACCAATACTCGTTCGTATGAGCAATTACTTGTAAATTTCTTAATGAACATGGACAGTAAAATCAAGTAACCGGTGGAGTAAATTTGTAATCTTAATCTCAACCACTACGAAATGATTGTAAAGTGTATATCATATAAGTGATGTTTTGACATGAACAAGACAATACGGCAGGGATCTATTTGTATATTGAAATATAGAAGATACGCAATCACTCGTTTGTTTTTACATCTTTAATGTTAAATAATTATTTACACTGCATTAATCAGGTTATGATCATAAGTTCCTGCATGTCTCGATGAATTGAGTCCGATATCCTAATGGTGAGGATAATGCAAACATGTTGCAATGATATTACTCCCAACGATTAAAAGAACAAAAAAGGGATAATCTTCAGGAAAGACTCGTAATGAATAAATAATTCCACTATTTCTTCAGTAATCACAAGTTATACAATGTATTTTTTTAAGAATACAACACGGACAATTTGATAACATAATCTGTCATTTACGATCTTGCTCGCTGAATTAAAAACCCTGTCACATCAATGGTTTTCAGCGCCAATTAAGAGCGAACATTGTAAGACCGAAACATGTTTTAATGCGATTTAAAACAACGATATATTAATTAAGTAACACCAAAACATAATACGAACTAAAACAACGATAAAACTAGGGTAAGAAATATTAACGAAGGAAATATTTACTAGGATACCCTTGTATAAATATCCAAATATGGTGTATTACATGCATCTAAAATTATCTACTAACTACAGAAATATCTTTCTATTTATTTGTATGAAGTTTAGCGTCCTTATAAAAACCAGAGCTATGTGAAAAATGATGCCTAGGGAGACACAACCGAAGAAACAAAGTTGGAAAGTGAAAAAAGAAAAGATAATTGATAGCAAAGGTAATTTAAGGATGTGCCTCCATATGTGTAATATAAGCCGAACATAGGTTTGGTTTGATTGTGTTAAACGACGTCCTATTAACAGCTAACGTCACGCCTCTATGTGTGTTGTGTACGTGTATGTATGACGGAAACAGGGTGACGGTAGAGCCATAGTTATGACGAAAATCTGCCTTCGACTTTAACTGGTAGGCAAACTGTAGGCATAATCTTATTCTTATTTCACTGAGTGGTTGTTCATTTGCTTCAACGAACAATAATTTTAACGTTACACGCTATTTTGAATGGAGCATTCACACACTACTCGTATGTATATTGTATTAGGACACCTACACTGCTGTACTGTACATTTTAGAATCCATTGTCTTGATCGATTTGTATCTTCATTCTTTTAAGTATTTCATTAAGTTCATGAGCCTAAATAGCCCCGGTATTTAAAATGACCAATAACCGTTACATACCCAATTGACTACAGTAGTTGTATATTTTTCACGCGAATATGCAACCAAATACATATACTTAACCATACGTAGGCGGCTGTCGGGGGTATGCGTAGAGGTAAAATGTTACGACTCGAATAGATGGTCATCCTAGTGATTAGGCACTTATGTGTCCTCCTAATATGGTAAGTATTTAACATATTACATACTTAAATAAGTCCAAATATTTGTGTGTGATCGTTTCCTCTTTTGGTATTAAGAATTGACAGGTCGTGCAATTTCAGGACATTCTGTTTGATATTTCTTTTAAAAACGCATCTGATGGGTTTGGTTTGGTTTGGTTTTATATTGTTTAACGTCCTATTTACAGCTTAGGTAGTTTAAGGGCGTATCTCCGTGTATGTTTTGATATGTGTATGTTTGCTGGAGACGGTTTGTTGGTGTACTTGTCTCCTTGTGATACCGCGGATCTGATGCCGACTTCATAGTGCTATCATTTGGGTTATTTTGCCCCTCGTTTTTAAAACAGTCATATTAAAAAAATCATTGTAAGACTGAAACATAAAACAGTTATGTGATGTTGTGTGATGTGACGTAATGTGGTATAATTTCCATTACCAACCACCTCGGGTTCTGTTATCATTCCTAGGGAATTGGTCTCCGGGTCATAAAATGGAAACAGTCGAGATCACCACCCGATATAACATATGTATGAAGCAAGGAGAAACCAATAAAAATGTTATTAGGATTAGCCTATCAACCCAATCAGTTGCTGGCCCTACACATGGAAACTCATATTGTTCTTTTTTTGTCATAATTACATTAAATATCCAGGTGAGCGATACAGGCTCCTCTTGTCCTCTTTGCTATAAACATCTCTGGTCCTTTTTAATGCTATAAACATTACGTTTTTTTATCTGTTTATGCTACTATAGCTAGCATTGTCACCCACAATTAGGAAGTGAGTTAATGGATTCGTAACTTCCCATCAACATAAAAAGGTCATTAGGGCCAATTAAAAGTAAACTGGACATATTAAACGAAATTACATTAAACGGATGTAAATATTAAAGACAAGGGTAAACATAGGCTAATCGTGTGTAATATTGATTTCTCAAACATGTGTTGCTGTACTGTATACATTTTGTCCCCCCCTTTTCTTTTGGAAAAGTTTTTTTATTTGCATTTTCCTCTTATATATACAATATACAATACACATTACAAGGACACAAACTTTCACTCAAACTACCTTACTTCTTGGAATGAATTGATTTTTTATATAAATAAACACGTGGTTCTCAGTTATGTAATACAAGATAATATAGTATTCAGCTGCACCTCACCATCTCAAAATCGGACGATTCACTCGCAGAAAAGATTTCATGCCTGAACATTTAGAATAGTTAGACAACAAAAAGAGCCTAAACTCTTAGTTTAGAATTTTATTTTAAGTCCTCCGAGTTCATAATTTTGAGGTCTGACTTACATTTATGCGGGAATTTAGACAACGTTAGCATGAACTGATTATGTATACAGGTTACTAGATTTCTATCACTAAATTACTGTACTGTGATTAATCCCTACATCTATCCATTTTTATCTTCCTTCTGTTTTTACTATGTACGGTTTATGTGCAGTCATAACACAGGTGTTTAAATATCAAACCTTGCGTGATATAGCCGACTGACAACCAGGTATTTATACATTTGTCACGTGATTATGTAACCTAATACGCATGTAGATTGATATAGGAAGTAGCCATTTTAAGTAGATTTTACAGACAGCAGGTACAATATTGTTTCTTATAGATGATAATTATTGTGAATGGGTACGGTAGGAGGATTCCCGTCAAAAAGGTAGGTACTTAACTGCAGACACACCTATCTACGATTGAATATTTGTGTGTAATATTTGTCTCTTCTGGTTCAAAGTATTGACAAGTTGGGTCATGTCAACATATTTTGTTGATATTATCAGACATACATTTGGTGAGAAAGAAGAAACAGTTAGGATTGTTTTGCGTGGAGGGTGGTGTAGGATAGAAGAAAACCCCGACAGTTTTGAATAATGATAAATGTCGTTTTATGATTTTTCTTAACATAAACACGAATATATAACACAATAATTCGTGAGAGGGTACTATATATAGGTCAATTTCATTTTATTTCATACCTATGAAACGGGAAGCATTTAACATGTATGTTGTCGCGTTTTTGTTCCGATCAAGGCAAGATATTCCTACTGTTGAGTATTGTACTCTTGCTATAATGTTATTTGTATTCTAGTGACACTGTAAGATATGTTACCGTGTATTGACCTGTAAATATGTAGACTCATTCAAACAAACCTAAAGGATTTACATTTACCTTCACATGAAGCCCATCCTTGTCACACCCAGAATAATGATACATTTGTCGTAACGACATACACACTTTTTTGTACAAGCAGACATTAACATGATACTATTACTAACAGTTATTTGTAACGTTCAAGAAATATATATATAACATTGTACATGTACAAGACATTGCTTGTCAGGTACATTCAACAAAATGAGTTTTTGCATAATGTACAAGTACTGACATGCATGAGAAAGTATTTGTAAATTTCATTTGTGAATACCTGTTAAATGGACAGTTAACGCAAGGCAGCCGGTACAATACATTTTGCAATCTTGATCTTCAGCGACTCAAAGACTAATCATCATTGTGTTGTTTATGCCATGAACGGTATCAGAGTCGGGGTCTATCTGTATATTTAAAAGAAAAACAATAACACGGGGTACCACTTATTTATATCTGTATCACAATGAAGGTAGTTTGGCTAAGGAGGAGTGGCGTTAAGAAAAAGCTGGAAGGGTATTTAACCTGTTTCCTTACCCTTACTCAACGATACAAAATCTTACCTTTTCAGTGTTTAAACACAAATTAATCGTGTAACTGTGTGTCAATTAATTTGAAGTATTATTAAAATGTCAGTAAAGTTTTGCCATTTACAACGTTTTAACAATGTATGGACAAAAATGTAAATATAACTAGCAGGAACCTATGAAGTTGGTAAATTGATTTTTTACTGCCCATGAACACAAAAATGTCATTAGAGCCAATAAACTGTAGACTTGACATGCTAAACGAAATTACATCAAAATAACATAAATGTAAAAGACAAGGTTCAGCATAAAACACATGTTAATCGTGTGTAATATTGATTTGTGAAACCCGTACTGCTGTACTGTATATAATAAATCGATTTTATCTTCCTTCTTTTTGTACTATGTATGGTTTATGTGCAGTCATAACACAGGTATTTAAATGTCAAACCTACAGTACTTAATCGACCGACAACCAGGTATTGTGAATTTGTCACGTGATTATGTAACCTAATACGCATGTAGATTGATATAGGCGACTGCCATTTGAAGTAGTGTTTTACACACAGCAGGTACAATGCTGTTTTGTATAGATGATAATTATTATGAATGGGTTCGGTAGGATGATTCCCGTCCAAAAGGTAGGTACTTAACTGTAGACACACTTAACTACGATTGAATATTTGTGTGTAATATTTGTCTCCTCTGATTCAAAGTATTGACAAGTTGGGCCATGTCAACATATTTTGTTGATATAACCTTTAATACAGCTGATGAGAAGGAAGGACAGTTAGGATTGTTGTGCGTAGAGGGTGGTGTAGGCTGGGAAAGAAAACTCTGACAGTTTGGAATAACGATAAATGTCGATTTATGATTTTTCTATTACATTAACACGAATATATAACACAATGGGTCGTGAGAAGGTACCATATGTAGGTCAACATAATGTTATTTCATACGTATGAAACGGGAAGCATTTAACATGTATGTTGACGCGTTTCTGTGCTTATCAAGCAACGATATTCCTACTGTTGATTCCTGTACACTTGTTTTAATGTTATCTCTTTACAACTTGTATTCTAGTAACACTGTAAGATATGATACCGTGTATTGACCTGTAAAAAATGAAGACCCATTCAAACTTACCTGAAGAATTTACATTTACACTCTGTATTACTAACAGTTATTTGTAACATTAAAAACATACAGATATCATTCTACATGTACAATACATTGCTTGTCAGGCAGTCGTTGGTACATTTAACAAAATGAGGTTTAGCATAATGTACAAGTACTGATATGTTTGAGAAAGTAGTTGTAGATTTCATTTGTGATTACCTGTTAAATGGACGCGAGGCAACTGGTACATACAAAGAAGAACAGTAACACGGGGTATCAATTATTTCTATTTGCATAACAATGAATGTAGTAACTGTTACAACACGTTCAGACCATGATTAACTAAGGGCAAAATATTATCTGATTATCGGCAGGCTGATCCATTTCCCCCGAGGTTGGCTAAGAAGGAGTGGCGTCGAGTAGCGAGAAACTGTTTAAGAAAAAACTGGAAGGGCATTTTACCCCTTTCCTAGCCGTGCTCGACGATACAAAATCGTACCTCGGTGCAATGTTTAAAAACAAATACATCGTATCATAGTGTGTCAATAAATTTTAAGTATTAAAATGTCAGTCAAGTTTTGCCATTCATAACGTTGAAACAAGGTATGGGCTTCTTAAAATACACAAAAAGTTAATATAACTAGCAGCAAGTTATTGAACAAAAAGAACTGCTGGTACCCATTCATGATAAAACATAATCAAAAGACATATAGCGAGTTGTGCAGCACAGACATCGGGTAACGCCATAGCACAGTTTTGATATGCTAACGTTCAAGCTGACAGTGCTTTGTGTTTTCCCGCTGTATAGTGAAGCACTCTACCGTTTCGAATGTATTTACGTGTAATTATTTGTTAAGTCTACCCTTCCTCCGGCATCTATACAATTGTTTACAGCTCATAAACACTACGTATATCATTTACGTTCTGTTTTGTGCAAGGTTACGTCAAGTTAAAGAACATACCACATTTGACGATTTTGAGTTTTAAAGGATATGTTTAATGATCCCAGTACCAATGCAAAACCTGCAACTAGGATACAGTGTGCTCTGTACTCCGTCTCAGCAAACATATATACAACCAACTAATTCGCAGGTCTTTTTACAATTAATTTCAAAAGGATGAAAAAACAACCAATATTAGAAGAATTAAACAAAAAATAATTCAACAGGACTATTTTGAGTGTGAAAAAAAACCCAAGCAGGGTTTGGCCAGGATTCCAACCCTAGATTTCAGGTTAGCTTACTATCAACCTACCCGATTGAGCTATCTGGTGAACGCAACTCTCCTTACCCAACTGACCTACAGTAATATCCAAACGGAAGCTAAAGGAAGGTACATGTAACTGTATATAGTAAAAAAACACAGTGTATTAAGACAGGGATCAATGTGCTGATACACATTGAACGAAAGGGATTAATTATGAGTGGCTGAAATTGGTATTAAATTATTTACTCATTATTGTACTGTGAGATTTGAAGAAATGGTTATAGAGTTATATGAGTGGGAATCTCAACGGTTTCAATATTAACAACCAGAAATTAAGTACCTAGGAGTGTTTCAAAACCCCTGGTCGAGGATAATGGTTGCGTTTGTCTCTATATAACTATAACTTAATCAGGAAAAGACGGAACTAATCGTGGCTCTCCAGCTCAAGGTCGGTGCCAGAACTATTGCGACTGTTCCAGCTGTTAAAAACCTAGGGGTATACTTTGATAGTTCACTGAACATGGATAAACAAGTGAACGCTATTGCCAAATCCTGTTACTACCAGATCAGGAACATCGGCTGTATTTGGCAGTTTTTAACTGCAGATGCATGCAAGATTTTGGTGAATTCCCTTGTAACCTCTCGGTTGGATTATGGTAACGCCCTGCTCTGTGGTATATCTGACAAACTAGCTAGTCGTCTGCAGAGGGTCCAGAACACTGCAGCACGGCTAGTTTCTCGTACTCGAAAGAGAGAGAGCACATCACACCTGTGCTTTATTCGTTGCACTGGTTACCTGTACGATACAGGTCGCAGTACAAAATTCTGGTGTACACATACAAGGCACTGAATGGAACAGCTCCTCAGTACCTATAGGAGCTTGTTACCCTGTATCAGCCGTCACGATCACTGCGGTGGGGGGCAGAGTCTTTGTTGTGTGTCCCAAAATCTCGTACTGTGACCTACGGAAACAGATGCTTTGGGAGGGTTTCGGCTACGTTGTGGAATAGCTTACCATCTGCTATTAGAAAGTCAAATACCCTGGCCAAGTTCAAGAGGGACATTAAAACTCACCTCTTCACGTCTGCATTTTAGAATCTTTGCAAAGACGTCATGTAAATACCACCCTTTTATTTGTTCAATTATGTGCACATTGCTTGCTTAAATGTATAAAAGTGATTATAAGCCTTTGTTTTTTGTTTTCACAATTATAAACATTACTGTTATCCATATGTTGTAAAGCGCTTTAGAGTAATTTTACAAATTATATAGGGCGCTATATAAATGTTGAATATTATTATTATTATTATTATTATATACGCAGCAATTGGTGATAAGGTCAAACGGTAGGGATCTCAACAGTTTTAAACCTATGAACCAGGGACTAAGTATTCAAGGGTAGCTCAGACCCCGTTGCCATTCTGGTAGCATACGTGTATTTGTCTTTAATACTCAGCATTTGCGCATGAGTATGGTTAAAGGTTGGGATTGCAACTTCGTCCAAGTTGTGACCAAGAAACTAAGTACCTGCTGTTACCCACGGCATGTATCGTAAGAGGCGACTAATGCAGAAACTCACAGCGATGTCGTACTGCTTACTTTTGTCATTATCTGCTGTGATTTAGTTTTAGCTCTGTTAAATCGTTTTAACCTTTATATTTTTTCATGTATGAAAAGACGAAGATTGAATGTTGAGTTTCAATTCAACAATTCCTTAAATTATATGATTTGTAAGAAAATCCAAACAAAGCAAATTATACATCCACCTAAGTTTATCAAATGACTAAAGACATTATGTTTTTGTTGCAGATGCATTACACGACAGAATTATGCCGTTGTCTTTCCAATGTGTTGAACAACTCTTAATCTTATCGTTCTATGGAGTTTACTTTGCTGACTGGCAGTATATTTGTAATTGGGAGTCAAGTGCTTTTTAACTTGTATGCGTAGCTGTCAATCTGTCGATTGATGTCGGAAATTAAGCTCATAATTTGTCATTCTGAATAACTTGATGCTTCACATATGGTACATGTTACGATCGAAGCGTTTTTGAATCTGTTGAGATTTAGTTACAGCTTTGTTAAACAGTTATACTCTTTATTATTAATATTTCATTGATAAAAGGATGACGATTTAACGATTTAAGTTTCAATTTACTATGTCCTTAGATTAAATTATTTGTGAGGAGAAAATTTGAAAAAAGCATATGAGCCATCCACTTGATGTTGTGTAAGTGTATCAAATGACTGAATACTGATTTCGTTGCAGAGTCATGTCAAGAAAGAATCTGCGTTTGTCGTCCCAATGGGTTGAGTCTATGGAGTTACTTTGATTACGAAAAACCTGTACGATCATTCTACACGATATGACCTGACCTCTGCACTTCAAGACTGACCTGTTGCCTTTGAAATAAGGCATTGGTTATATATTTGAAAATGATTCCTGCTTTGTCTGCATGATCTTATTATAAGGTAAGAGTTCTTTTGTTATGTTTATAACGCAATTGCACGTCGTTAAGGCGATATGAAAACTCATCATTTCATTAATATTAACATATTAACAATTGTAATTACCGCAGCCTTAAAGGAATTATAGTGTTTACAATGTATTGCCCTGTGTAAACATTCCGTTTCAGATAAACACAAAAGCCTTGTAAACAAAGCAACCATGACGAAATATTATCGCATGTTATTTCAATCGGACAGTATTTCAGGTCGGCATTATATCTGCGTTACCGCATAGAAGCATTATACCAAGATACCGTTCTTCATAAACTGGGTTAAAACATTACATAATAATGCTAGTGCTGTAATTAATCAGGGAGGGAATCTGTCTTCATTTTTTCAAATTAAAAGGGGCTGTCGTCAGGGGGACCCGGTTGCTCCATATATATTTATTCTGTGTGCTGAAATTTTAGCTATGAAACTAAGAAACAATAAGAAAATTAAGGGTATTAATGTTGATAACTGTCCTATACTTCTATCACAATATGCAGATGACACTGCGCTTGCACTTGATGGTACAGAAAGATCACTGCAGGAATCTATTACTGAACTTAATTTCTATGAAAGTATATCAGGATTAAAAATAAATATTTCAAAAACTCAAGTGGTTTGGATTTGCAATAAGAAATTTAGCTCAGATAAATTCCTTCCAGAGCTTGACTTACAATGGTGTAGGGAAAACTTTACACTTCTTGGCATTGAACTTCACGTTAATTTACATGAGGTACCTAAACTGAACTTTGATACAAATTTTAAATCACTTTTCAGATCATGGAAAAGGAGAATATTAACACCAATTGGTAAAATAAACATAATAAAATCAAGTTGGGTTTCACAATTTAATCATTTATTTATCTCACTGTCCAAACCCAGAGGTGGGTTAAACATGATCAAAACTTTTATAGACTCACTCAAATTAGGTTGGATTAGAAAAATATTTTGATGTACATCTAAATGGCAAGCAATTTTAAAAACATATGTTAACATAGACATGTTGGCAAATTGTGGTTCAGATTATATAAAACTACGTGAAAATAAATGACCTGATAAAAGACTATAATTCTGGTTCCTTTTATACAGTTCAACAATTAACTCAAATTTATCAAAAACAGACTCATTTTCTCAAATATCACAGTGTTCTTTCTGCAGTAAAACATTTCAACTCTAATCCAGATTTTCCTAAATATAAATTGTTATGTTCCTTTATTCCTGTACACTTAGAAAAAAGATTCTTTAAAAAGTCTAAAGGTTCCAAACATTTTTATAGTATCCGGGTAAAAAATAACATTGTTCCATCAGGACAGAAGAAAAGGAATAGAGTCTTTGATTTTAGTCACTTTTCTTGTCATCAGATTTAAGCTACTCTTTGCTATAACTACTAATACAAAATTTCAGTGGTTTCAGTATAGAATAAATCACCATATTCTGACAAAAAATTCTTTCCTTTTTAAAACTCGAATAAGTGTATCTCCTATGTGTACACTTTGCAATTCCGAGGTTGAAACTATTACCCATATGTTATGGAAATGTCAAGAGACTCAGAAACTTCTTCTTTGTTTTGAAACTCTTTTAGATGCACTCATTATTCCTTTTGAGTTCAAAAAAGAATCTTATTTATTTGGATTTCTTGCACAAAATGTGAATGGTAGAATTGATAATGAGATACTCATTATAATTAAACAACATATATATAAAATGCGTTTTCTTCATAGCTCCTTAAATATAAATGCATTGGTTAACGCAATAAAAGACTACCATTATATACAAAAAATTATAGCAAATAGCAAAGGAGAAACTTATAAAGAGAAGTTTGAAATGGAATGGAAAAAAATGGGAAAAACTTCTTGTTTTGCAAAAATATTATTCTGATAGCTATCTCCTGGGCTTTGAAATAAATTACAGAATCAATAAAGTTCTTCTATTTCATTTTTTCATAAGCTTGAGCTCAAAAATATAACAGTCCAGTCCCTCCCTCCCTCCCCCCCNCTCTCTCTCTCTCTCTCTCTCTCTCTCTCTCTTAGAAATTTAATATTCCATCCCTCCCTCTCCCTGTCTCACTCTCCTCAGAAAACAATCAAAGGGTTTGATCCAATAGATGAGCCCCCTGTGTCAGAGAAGTCAAAGATCTGATTGAATGATCATCTTTAAAGGTCAGCTTATTGCAGTAACTTTAATAAAATAAAATCAACAATACTTTGGCATATTTAAATAAATTTGACCTGGACCCTCTTTTAAAATTGGATCCAAGATAAGTAACAGGTGAGCGATACAGGCCCATTGGACCTCTATTTCACGTAAACTTTTTTATTTTTTTATTTTTTTCTCGCTAACACTTTCATATTCTGATACTACTAGTTTCAAATTAGTTATATATGCTGTTAGTTTAAGTACATTTAAGTTTAAAACTTAAATGTTTGTTTTTGTAGTGTTCTGATTGGTGTTTATTTTGTGTCTTTCAGATTATTAAGGTTCAACCAATATGGCGGAAGATATTTCTGAGGATGCTATCGATTTTCATAATGAAATGGTGTTCGATTTGGGTGAAGGTATAACTCAGAAACAGTTATTCAAGTTAAAATGCCTATTTGATGGTAATCCTCTTTCTCAAAACGATATCAATCAAATCAAAACAATACAGGAACTATTTATCCGCCTGAAGATCGAAAAAATTATTTCTGTTGGAGACTATAAAAAATTCGTACCAAAGCTGAAATTAGTAAATCGGGACCTGTGCTCAATTGTTGACACCTGCACCAACAAAATCAAAAGTTTACGCCGAGAGGAAGATATAGGTATGTCGTTTTAAATTATCAATATTTTACACAATGTATATGTCCGACACAACGAGTTCGCAACATGGTTGGAAGAAATTATAAGCTATAACCTACATTGCACATAATTATGTTTTACACAAGGAAGACCAACCCTATTGTCGCGAATGCGGCTAACCATCTACGGCCAAACATATTAGGAGTTAATGCGCCGATTTAAAACAAAGCCATAACAAATTCTATAATGTACCGTCTATTTGCAAGCAATCGATCTTTCCAATAAGATTTGATATAATTAACAACGAATTCGTTCGCTATTGATGTCTTTTTATACTCCCCGTAACAAAGTTATGGTATACTGGAATCATTGTCAGTCTGTCCGTCTGTCTGTCTGTAGACAAAATAGTATACCTCCTATTCCTCCTAGGTTTCTTATGGACTTTTTAAGGAAACTTATATGTAATTCCTCAAATGAATCAGTGTCTTCACGAACGCCATTATGTTCCTACAATATTTTCAAGAGTAATGGCCCTTGACTTTTGTAGATGGTACATTACGTTACCGAAATGGCCAATTATCTCAGAAACGGTAGATGTTTTGTAAACACATACTTTGGAATGATGTAAGCATTAATGCAAGCTACTCTACTGATAACTTTCGAGGTCAAAGGTCACGAATTAATTACCATACTGAAATGGCTAATTATCTCGGAAACGGTAGATATTTAGTATACACATAAACATTAGAGTATTTTAGCCAATTATGCAGGCTACATTGTCACAAACTTCCAAGGGCATGACGTCAAATGTCACAGATGCATAATGTGACTGAAGAGGTAAAATATCGAAGAAATGGTTGGTATTTTGTATGCACATACCTTGGAATATATGTAGCATTGATGCAACCTTCATTGTGACAACATTTCGAGTTCATGGGTTCAAAGGTCATAGTAGCAATGTTTGTTTTTTCCATCGGTCTGCTGGTACGACGACTGAGGTTAAACTTTTTCATGACACTTGATTTCTTCATATTTTTCACATGTTTTAAGGGACATCACGTGAAGAGCCATATATTACCTTATGTTACCTTGCTATCCCCATATTCATAGTCCGTCCCAAATGTCCAGTTTGACCACTTGTTCGGGAAAGCCCTGTTAAAAATAGCGCCAATAACGTCACGTGACGGTTTTGAAACGAGGCAGTAACACAGGTGGTCTGACCGAGATACAAAGATTCCAAAAGGGCCCCTAGAGAGGGGCTGTAAGGCATGCAGCTCACATGAAACTTATTAAACGCACAATGAAACCAAGAAATAGGATTTCTAAGTCCGTGTTGCAACTTATTGAATTTCTTGGCAGTAATTATTCAACATCAGAAGTTAATTGCACACATGACAATATTCAAAATGTAAATGAAGAAAATTGTGTTGGCATCTCGGCATTATTTATAGAAACCAGGACATTTCTAATACCGGAATGTGACTGGTACAAATGGTTACGGGGCTAAACACCTTCCCTCAACCATGGGACAAACCTTTCTTTAAAAAGGAATATTTACGAGACGAATATCCTTTTTTAAATGTTTTCATAAAGTATATACAGTGTATATATGCATTGACAAGTGTTAAGATACTTGCTAATTATATGTTTTTAATACTCTACAGAGATTAAAGCATACGCGTAAATGAAAATTAATGATTTATAGAACAAAGTTGTTGCATGATCATACATTCTAAGTCAACGTCATGTGAAAACATAAACTTTTGAAACATAACGATTAACAAATGTATTACTATAAGCACAGACTTAGATAGTAATCTATTTCTGTGATATAAGTAGGTTTCCTTCCTCAGTTATTCATCTTGAACCGTCATTTTTATATATTTAAATGTTGCATTTGAATAAAAAAATCATTTACTTCAACAATATAATTAAATCATACCATTTTACTAAAATATTTTAAATTAATTAAATATAATAGCGCACGTATCTAATGTGACCCCGAGTACCGAGAGAGATACTATACAGCATCACAACAGTTATCCCTTGGAGGGCCCCATAGCAAAATCGCATAAACTACTGTATATAGAAACACGAAGTAAACTCTCTCCGATAAATGCCCATTAACATTACAAACTAAGTTAATCTGTGTTCCAACTTAGACAAAGATACTATTTAATTTAATTTAGATATTTAGATATTCAATTATTACATAAACAGCATATCTGTCGATTCCATTTCAGCTTTATATTTGCTACCCGTAAGAATACATGAACCGTACTAACTGCTAGGGCAGTTATTTTCTCCTTAGAATACTTCCCGACTGCAATTATTCCTCCGGAACCTAATCCTTGCGCTATCTTTTGGCCGTTTGGCCACTTTTCCCTTCGTAGCTGTGGCGGTAATGCTGTTTACTCGCTGACACGTCCCACGGCAAGTCATGTTGATTACAATGAAATGGCGTGTTGTGCGCATGCGTTATTAGAAGTGTTACGAACAACTGCAGAACGAACTGTCCGACCAGACAGGATAAGGAATCTCCTCTTCTATTAGTAATTACATATTTTTAGGAATATGTATCGGCAAAATCCGACCGTTATTTTCCAATAGATGACTCACTAGATATATACATGCAATGTTTTTTAAAAAGTAAAGAAAATATATATATACTTCATCGTGATGTCTCTTTTATAAGCTCCCTCATGGTCAACAAGCAGCCGGAATGCGGGGCGTATTAAGTTACTTAGCCCATTTGCGACAGTTCTAGTTTAAATCTTAAACTTAATTTTAGTTTGATGATGTTTTCGTGAATATCCATTTTTTTAAGTGTTGGTTGGCCCTAGTTGACATGGTTGATGGCCATTATAACAATACAAAACATAATCATATTCGAACACAAAGAAAAGTTATTCAGTAGTTTTAGGCCCATTTAAACCGAGCAAGTAGTACAATAAATCAATGCTAACCACCTCAACACATTTGACGACAAAAGAAATAAAAGCTTTAATTTGTATTTTCATGGTTTGGATTTCCTTTTCATCCTAGAGTTAATATGATACCATGATACTAGTAACTGGTAATTAAGACTTTTAAGTTACTGAAAACATTGTCCCCATATATTTTAATTTAGGGAGTAACGTTACACAATCATGGACATGGACATAGGACTGACTCTGTCGTCAACGGCTAAACATGTTGAGATACAGGTCATATTAGCCGCGTGTCTAACTGTCAGTAATAATGTTAAGATGGACATCGAAGTCGAAGCAAAAACTGATAAAACACGGTCCACCGATACGACAGTTAATATCAATGTAAATATTTTGCGCAAAATTGTTTTCACTTTCGTAAAGAAACATATATTTGATTAGCTATATGCAAGTAATCTTAAATAGCGGACAATTTGATGAATATTGGTTGTGTACAAATAAACTCCCTCTCCAAACATTTATTTTTGTAATATACATATGGCAGCAATTTTGAACATAATATTTCGATAAATTGTTCTTATTTATGATATAAACGTTATCCTCAATAGGTTTTGATATCAATTGAAATATGCAAAATAGCCTATAATATTAGCAATACATCAACTAATTGAATTACGTGTATTGATATAATCTTTTAACATCATTACGCGTCTACAGAGGGAATGGTTATATCAATGGATGAGACAAAATACCATGCGAGCGAAGGATCAACAGCATACATAGATTGTACGGTGGATCCTAAAGCAGACAGCATTACATGGAAAAAGGGAAAAAAACGCCCACTACTAAGCACAAGAATTCCTATTGACAATCGTAAATATTTTTCTGGATATCCAAAAGCTCCTACCCTTGTGATAAAAAAATCAAGCAAATCAAAAGATGAAGCTCACTACCAATGCAGTGCGAAAGCCAAATCAAAAGCAGTTGACGGTGAAATCGTACACTTGGAAGTATGTAAGTATAGAGCATTCGTATCATAAATTTAGTTTCAATGTATTCAACATGTGAAAAGAATAATATTGAAAGCAGAAGAGTACATTGAACAAAAATAGCAAGATGTCCTTCTCTAAAATAAAACTTTAGGAATTAGTTCACATTACGATATATACTTATTTGAATCATTGCTTTTAATTATAATACAATTGTCATAATAATCTGTTATGATTTTTATAGTACCCCAATGCTGCTAAGTTTGAGTTGTCAGTCGAAATGTAAAATTTCATCGAATATTTTGTATGTGATTTTTTTTTATCAAAGGCCGTGAAAACGATCTAACAAACAATGCAATTATTTTGTCAAAGATTTGATGCCACAATACAGGTGATTCACGAGCACTGAATTAAGTAAAAATAATTTTTAGTTCGTATATAACTCACAATAACCAATGATTATCTGGCTGTCTTTAAGAAGTAATTATGAAGGTAAGGAAAATAATTTAAGGGGTCATTCTGATTTACATTTAATGCTATCCACCGATATGGATGTGGTGCTGCATTTGATTTGTGTGTAAAAAATCTCTATAACAATGGTCTATTTGAGGTCGATTATTTCAATGTATAATAGAAAAGCATTATTTCGGAGAAATACTACCTCAAATCACGTCATCGAAATGTTGTCTGAAACGAATGATGTTGACACATTTAGTGTATGCACTGATCTTTCGGGTGCACCAGGTCGAAATCGGGTAGCGGTGCTAATGCAACTCTGAATTTTAGAACTTTTCAATGTCTACTCGGTTTGCCAAGTATCATAGAACAATAAAGAAATGGAAGCTATCGACCGTGGGTTTTTTTGCAAATAGTTTTTGACACATTAAATTTGTTAGACTCAAGAAGTATGTCGTCTTCAATGATACCATTTTTACCATCGAACCAATTGCGGCAGTGATTGTTGATGTACTGATGTGATTGAAAGATGAAGTCATATGAAAACCGCATTTGCGTTCGGTTTTGCTAGATACTGTCTTTATTATCACATCAAATTCCTAATTGCAAAATGAACACACGCATAAACAAATACAAAATACAGCCAAAATATCGGCCGTTGCAGGTAAACCTTGGACGACGTCAACATTATCTGACGTTATCTGATTGTATACATTGCAACTGTTTTATGAAAACACTAATGAGCATCGAGCTGGGGCACAAGTATTAGCTCCCATGCGTAGTAACAATTCGTAAATTGATTAATGATCAGGTACCTAACATGAACGAAAAGCAATGATTAAAATTTCAACCTTGTTTTTTGTCTTGCAGCGGACGAGGGTAAATCGAATGCGACTACAACCGGAAGTACGAAATCCTACAATAGTCCTTCGAAAAGGTAAAGATTTCCTGGAAGTAAGGGCAACGCCTGGGGTAGAAGCCGTAGCTAAGTATATTTCTGTAAAATGCTCCACGTATAGAGGCTGTATAAACATATAGCTATGCTGGCGATTACAGCTGAATAATACTGTATTTAAAGTATTCATTACAGAAAAAAATATTGCTAGTCAACTAGTGTACCTATTATTTGATTAATTATAACCTAGATTTGGATGAATGTAATTCGTTACTGATATAACTTGTTATGTGTTTTCAAAATTCACTTTTTATTGCCTTCAGTTCGTATAATGCATTTAGCAATATTGCTGTTACATGATAATTACCTATTAAAATATTGTTACAACCACTACGACATCTTAATAATTTATATTTGTGTTTTAGTGGTCTGTCGACTGCAGTTGGGCACGAAGTAAGCCAGCAGGAAAACGGTACTGATGTTAACAGTTTTCTTTATGTCCCATTTAAAAATAGAAGTTCTCTTTGTTTAAATTTATAAGATTTTTGAGTACAAACAATTTAAGTTGCGTAAGTGTGAGATATAAGAACAGATTCCTATTTATTCACGATAAAACAAGATGTTTTATTTGCCAATCCAAATGATTCACGGTTAACTGTCCGCAAAATTCTCATTTTCATAGAAAACTCTGATGACAATTGTTCATGAGATCAATGATCCCTATTGACCTCGACACGACATAAACTTAATAGTGTGTTTACTCCGTTTCTTAATATTATTAAATCCCCCAAACGAAGTGGTTTTACTCCGTTTCTTTTTATTATTAGGGACATATTGTTTTTGTCCGTTTCTTATTATCATTATTATTATTCTTTCAATAGCTTCCGCCGCGAACTTTTCCGGACGTTTTCTCAGAGATGACTGGACAGAACTTAATGAAACAATTCAAACATATAAATGAGCATGAGGAAGGGTCTTATATTTTTGGGAATTAAAATTTCTAAAGGTGTTCGCTAAGAATAGCCATTGTCACCTATCCTACTTTACATGTGTTACAGATATTGCATTCCAAATTTGGTATGTAGGCGTATTATGGCACTGCGAACTCAACTGCGACATCTGTTTTCTGATTTCATAAAATGGCTGCCGAATACTTGGTTCTGATTGGTCAAAATTTAGATATTTTTTGATTATGATACATTTTGTATATAGGGATATTAGGGGACCGCAAATTTAACCGCATATGTTTCGTTGCCTAGCAACCACAGGAAGGCTTCTGATTGGTTGATATTTAGATATTGTTCGATTACGCTCAAATCTAGTATGTACATTGTATGTGTATTATGGCATTGCGATACTTTTCTGATGCATCTTTGGTACTATGGGGGGTAGTTTGAGGGACTTTTATAATGGTCCCCCATTACATTTACTACTTGTTATAAATGCTGTCGCGAACAAAAGCGTTACTCTGAAGGTCAATGTAAATATCCGTCCTCATATTACCCTGGCTGTTGTGAGGACATCAAACTGCAAACAAGCAATGCAACTCCGCATCATTTTGATTGTTACTAACGTCACCAACCTAAGACAGAGTGATTTTTTTTAATAACCAAAAACTTGAAGTCATCGTTTCTTTCATACACTGTAGGTTTAAACAGATCAGAATTGGAATGCGTGTACCACTACTGTATTTTGAGATGTTTCAAAAATAACGTAATACTGGCGAGGCGGAGCGGAAATATTTAAACGCAAACTGTGAAAGATTTGTTTTTCTAGCTGTTCCTATTTTCTTCTTGATATTCGCTAAAATGATCATTTTTAATTTCAAAGATAAAATCTAGCATCTCAATCATAAACAGTTTCTTGTCATCAAATTGTACTGGTCGAACGGCCAGTTTTCCCTTATCAAATACTCGCACTTTTACAGGTAGAATCCACATTAGCTTAGTATAAATGTTTACTTGTTATTACGCTGTTCTGTGTAACTCTTTATCAATATAATATGACCGGTTGGAAAACATGTCTCGGAATATATTCGGTATGGTACTTCAGTAAAGTAGCACTCTAAATTTCAGATCAGATCCGCGTTATCGCAAGGAGGAAAATACACCAATACACCACTTCTAACACGCACGGATACATTACGAACAAACAGGCACGTCCTTAAAATATAATTTGCTGTAAATAGGACGATAAACCAATTAATACCAAACCAAATGAAAAGAATAATACACTGCGAAGCAAAGTGTTTTCTTTGCATTGTTAAAGTACACTTTAAAATAACTGCTATGGTTCAACATATACGTCGATTCTGTTATCGTGACGAATATATATATATATATAGTAGATAAAAAATAAATAAGTCCTTGCGAAGGAAAATGTATAATATATAAACTGTGTAAGATTTGTTTTTCTAGTTGTTTTCTTTTGATCGTATGATGCAATTCCCTTCAGATTCGGGGAACTCGGCCTGCTGAATATAAATATATATATATAGGTAGGTACTAAAAACATCTGGTCTTTTGTTTTTATATATATATCAGATCTAACGACCGACTAAAATACAAGCTGCTTTCACCCTTCACATGGCTCTTCAGGTTTTATCATATATATATATATAAACATCATTTCATTTTTTCACTGTAGATTCCGATAACGACAACGAAAGTTATAGGCGGAAATCACATCCCAATTTATCGTCCAGCGCTGAGGGATCAAAAGCTGATTTAAATAACTCGTCAATATCTTCGACAGGGAGAAAACGGTCTCTTAGGTACAGTTACGCCTGTCTTACACTTAACAATCAAATAAGGTCTGTTTCTGATAACATCTCTGCTGTCATTCTTTCTTTATACCAAATAGTGTCAAGACATTGGAGTTGAATTTCTTTTTTTGTTTTCTTTTGATCGTATGATGCAATTCCCTTCAGATTCGGGGAACTCGGCCTGCTGTGTCACACTGCATAATCCGAAAGGAAGTTAATGTGGAGCCCGCTGCATTATCGGTGGTTTCCTTCTGTGCCTCGCAGCCTTCCAAAACACACACACATTCACTACACGCATGCATCTTGCATACATGGGAGGCCGTCCTTAAATGACCATAGCTGATGATATGACGTTAAACCAAAAATGGGCATTTTAGAATAACAAAATTGATTTGCTGCCCCTGTGCAACATTTGGGATACTTATGTTTTCTCTCTATTTTCTAAAAACTCTTTTTTCCTAGCGCCTTCGTTGGCAATACCTGATTTTAATGTTGAATGTTCACCCAAATGAGGAAGGCGTTTGGTTATGTCCGCAGGTCGAGAGATACATGTATCGTATATCAGGAAATTTCCGCCCATTCAAGCTTTCGCCCTTTGTTCATGAAATTAATTTTCTGTAAAGATAAATTTGCCCTTATTACATAAGGTGAAAAAGACGAAAGTTAAACTAAAGCGATGTCGGGGTATAGAAACAACTTGTTTATCTGTTGTACATATAATATGACCGGGTGGAGTATTGTGCTGAGCAATTTCGGCATGTTATTTTAGCGAGGTAGCACTGTAAAGTTGGCATCAGATCCCCGCTATCGCAAGGAGGCAAGCGTACTTGTTCGCAGACGACACACAAATATTCGAAGTGATTACTAAAGAAGAGGTAAATGTGTTCATATACACACCGCAAACGATTTTACATACTATCTCTCTGATACAGCGCAAATGTATATAGAAACAGACAAAAGCACAAAGGAATACTTGATAGCAATCTGTAATTCGAAAATAATTAGTTTTGATCAAATTAAAAGAGCAAGTGCAATTATGGCAATCATAAGGAAATCGTTCCAAACAACTTGTTAGAACTCATCATGATATAGCGAGCGCTATGTGGTTTCCGTACAAAACAAAATATATTGGGGTTTTAGTTTAAGAAATCGGTCGCGGAACTGAAAATCTGTAATACCCAGATAGACTAAATTGCCCTTTTGATGTTATGGAAAGATGTGTTAAACGATCCGGAAAAAGAAAATTCTTTGAAAATATACTCTCACAGTGTAAAATTATGAAGAGGAAATATATATTTGTTTTACTATGAACTAACTACTTAACGGAAAATGTAGTAGGTGCTAATACAGATTTATTATTTAACTTCAAAGCTATTTTGACACCTCAGTGTCATTACAATAGAATTTCATTTATTACACAATTATGATGCTTTGAGGCTGGTGTGGAGGATACAAAATCCAATAATTAAATATCATTAAATTGCACAACGTTGTGTAATCAATTGATTCTATTCTTAAACAAAGGTATAACATCAAATGTTACATTTCTTTTTTATTTATCTTTTTTTTTATTTAATTCTTTATTTATTTACTTTTGGCAGTTATTCCACAACAGAGATGCATACCCGAAACATTGGAGAACGAGGTAAGCATGCTTAACAGGTTATCAAACAGATGTGTTATGCATGCATTGTATTGTATTGCGTAAACAATCATGCTTTGTATATAACATAATCAAGTTCATGCAAATACAATTTAGTACCATATGAAACATTTGTGGTTCCCTGTGTAGACAGTCCCTGCAGGTAGGGCGTAAGAATTGTACCTGCTGCCGCCATTGTATGATCGTAAGAGGCGACTACATTTGGAATCTTATCTTTTCTCTCCTTTCTAAACAACTTTCTTCTTCCTAATGTCTCCCTTGACAATGCCTCACTTTTGGCCTTTAGTTGAGCGTTTGCCCCTGTGAGGAAAGCTTTGGGTTCTATCCCCTGGCCGAGGCATACCAGAGTCTGTAAAAATGGTAGTCTCTACTCCTGCGTAACGCTCAGCAGTTAAGGGGTGGGACGACTGGTTCGCCCGTTGTCAGTATAATGTGACCGGGTGAAGTGTCCTGCTGAGTGTCTTCGGCAGTATATTTCAGTGAGGTAGAATTATAAAGTCGGCATCAGTTCTGCGCTTTCACTAGGAGACAAACACGAACATATCGCAGCCTCCCAAAACACACACGCATTCACTACACGCTTGCATTTTGCACACAGGGAAGGCCGTCCTGAAGTGACAAAAGCTGTTGATAGGACGTTAAACAATACTAAATCAAACCAAACCAAACCCTGTGTAGACAAGGGCAAAGATGTAAAAATGAAATCGCCCGCCCAACCTCTTGCAGAATCGGGAATTCACTTTTGTGTCTTCTCTTTAGGGGACACTCAAAAAACCAAAATATATCTACTGCCCCATTTTCAATACTTTCTGTCCGTCTTCGTATATCCAATTTTTTGCGAGGACATTTAACACCAACAAACCATACAAAATACTTTGATGGGATATTCCTGGAAAGAATGTGATTTCTTGTTATATTAATATTGAACAATTATCTTTGTCGTTTGACATACACCCCTACAGGTGGGGTATCGCGAAAAGAATTCACATGTGGTTACCCACTGCATGTATCATATGAGGCGAACAATGAGGGAACCCCTTGCTAAATTGGGGGTTCTTCTATTTTGGGACACAAAAGCGACCAAAATTTTGGGATCTTTATCTTTCTTTCTACTTCTAACTACCTTTTATTTCATAGCGCCTTGCTTGGCAACACCTCGCTTTTGGCATTTATGTTGAGCGTTCGCCGAGGTGAGGAAGGCAATGGGTTGTCCCCAGGCTGGAACATACCAAAGTCCTTAAAAATGGTAGTTGTTATTCCCTGCTTAACGTTCAGCATTTAGGGGAATGGCAACAACTGGTTTAACCGTTGTCAGTATAATGTGACCGGGCGGAATGCTGTGCTGGTTGTCTTCGGCATAGTATTTCAGTGAGATAGCAATATAAAGTCGGCAATAGATCCGCGCTAACAAGAAGGCAAGCACACACGCAAGCACGCATACGCTACACGCGTGGAAGGACGTCATTAAATGACCTTTGCTGTTAATAGGACGTTAAACAAAATGAAACCAAACCAAACCAATCAATTGACATCATTAAGAAATCTTTGTAATATGTTCTATAATTGGGTAACACTAAATTGATGAGGGTTCCTATACAAAAGCACTTTCTTGCTTGTTTTCAGATAATCATGCTGATCAAGGATGTCAGGTATCGTTGGTCGTTCGAAATGAAATAGATATTAGTAGAGAAGCATCAGTAGACGACTTTTCAAAAGGATTTTCGACAATTACTGAAGAATACGGCCGTGTGAAAAAGGTCACATTTGAAAAAAGTAAGTGAACATTCATATAAAGATATATCTTGCTTATGAACGGAATGCGCTTTTTTAGGAATATGATTCTTTTTGATTTATACACAACAAGTCATTTAAAGATTTAAACATATTTGATCCCTGTGACCTTGAATATGAGCGAAGGCCATCATTTGAACAAACTTGGTAGCCCTTTATCCCAGCATCTAACTGACAAAATATCATAAACCTGGGCATCTTGGTAACTCAGAAGAAGTGGTTTTAAGGTTTTAAACATATTTGATCCAAGCGACCATGAATTTATGTCAAGGTCATTCGTTAGAACAAAATTGGTTGCCCTTTAACTCAGCATGCTACTGGCCAAACACCATCAACCTAGGCCTCTTGGTTATTGAGAAGTTGCTTAAATGTTTTAAACATACTTGACCCCTGTGACCTTGAAAATGGGCGAAGGTCATTTGTTTGAACAAACTTGGTAGCCCTTTATCTTAGCATGCTATTGGCCAAATATCATTATCCCAGCCCTTTTGGGCATGCAGAAGAAGTTGTTTAAAGGTTTTTAATGTTTGACCCTGTGACCTTGAAAATAAGCGAAGGCCATTTGTTTGAACAAACTTGGTAGCTCTTTATCCCAACACGCTACTGACAAAATATCATGATCCTAGGCCTTTGGGTTATTGAGAAAAACTTGTTTAAAGGTTTTTAATATGTTTGACCCTTGACCATGAAAATTGGTGAGGGTCATTCGTTTGACTAAACTTTTTAGCCCTTGATCTGAGCATTATACTGGTCAAATATATATCATATGCCTCTTGGGTATTCATGACAAGTTTTTTAACATATTTGACCCATGTGACCTTAAAAATGGTTGAAGGTCATTTGTTTGAACAAACTTGGTAGCCCTTCCCATCCCAGCATGTTACTGGCTAAAATCATCATCCAAGGCCTTTTGGTTATTGAGAAGAAGTTGTTTAAAGGATTTTACATATTTGACACCTGTGACCGGGAAAATAGATGAAGGTCACTCGTTTGAACAAAGTTGGTAGCCCTTTATTCCAGCATGCTCCTGGCCAAATATCATCATCAAAGGCCGTTTGGTTATTGAGAAAAAGTTGTTTCAAGGTTTTCAACATAATTGAGCCCTGTGACCTTGAAAATGGATGAAGGTCATTTGTTTGAATAATCATGGTAGCCCTTCATCCCAGCACGCTCCTGGCCAAATATTATCATCCAATGCTGTTTGGTTATTAAGAAGAAGTTGTTTAAATGTTTTAAACATACTTGACCCCTGTGACCTTGAAAATGGGCAAAGGTCATTTGTTTGAACAAACTTGGTAGCCCTTTATCTTAGCATGCTATTGGCCAAATATCATCATCAAATGCCGTTTGGTTATTGAGAAGAAGTTGTTTAAATGTTTTAAACATATTTGAGCACTGTGACTTCGAAAATGGGTGAAGGTCATGTGTTTGAACAAATTTGGTAGCCCTCCATCCCAGCACGCTTCTGTTCAAATATTATCACCCTGTGACCTAGAAAATGGGTAAAGGTCATTTGTTTGAAAAAACATATTAGCCCTTTATCCCAGCATGTTACTAGCCAAATATCATCACCTTAGGCCTTTTGTTTATTCAGAAGAAGGCGTTCAAAGATTTTTGTTTGTTTGTTTGTTTGATTTTGTTTAACGTCCTATTAACAGCTAAGGTCATTTAAGGACGGCCTCCCCTGTGTGCAAGATGCATGCGTGTAGTGTATGTGTGTGTATTTTGGGAGGCTGCGATATGTTCGTGTTTGTCTCCTTGTGATAGCGCGGAACTGATGCCGACTTTATAGTGCTACCTCACTGAAACATACTGCCGAAGACACCCAGCAGGACGCCCCACCCGGTCACATTATACTGACAACGGGCGAACCAGTCGTCCCACTCCTAATTTGCTGAGCGTTAAGCAGGAGTAGAAACTACCATTTTTAAAGACTTTGGTATGTCTCGGCCAGGGGACAGAACCCAAAGCCTTCCTCACAGGGGCGAACGCTCAACAAATGGCCAAAAGTGAGGCATTGTCAGGGGAGACATTAGGAAGAAGAAAGTTGTTTAGAAAGGAGAGAAGAGATAAGGTCCCAAATTTAGTCGCCTCTTACGATCATGCAATTGGGGGCAGCAGGTACAATTCTTACGCCCTACCTGCCGGGACCACAAAGATTTAAACATGTTCAAATATGTCAAAGATTTTAACATATTTGACCCCTGTGACCTTAACAATGGATGAAGGTCATTCATTTGAACAAACTTGGTAGCCCTAGATTCCAGCATGCAACTGGCCAAATATCATCTATGCCTTTTGGTTACTGAAAAGAAGTTGTTTCAAGTAAAAAGTTGGCGACGGACGCCGCACCATGGTATAAGTTCACTTGCCCATCGGACAGGTGAGCTAATAATGTAACAAGACGATAGTTATTGTCCGTGCAGGTTTCGGATAAGAACAGACTTTCTCAATCCAACTACGTGTTGTTAAAAGGGGCGACTATTTTCAATGATTTCTCAGAAAGTACAGGAGGGATATTTCTCAAACTTAATATGTAGGTTTCCCTTAATCTGTAGTTGTGCATGTTTACTTTTGGGACTGATCAGATGAACGAAATGGCCGACAGATGACCTTCTTGGTTTTGACAGTGAATGTTTGTTATCGCTATTTCCCAGGAAGTTCTGGAGGGATCTTTCTCAAATTTAATATGAAGGTTTCCCTTGGTCTGCAGTTGTGCATGTTTACTTTGGAGAGTGATCATTAAAACAAGATGGCCACAGGAAGTACTAATGACAACTTTCTGATATTGTAATGATTGGATCTATTTCTCTAACATTTGAAGAACTGTACTAGTAAATAAATGAAACAGTGCATTTACTGTTTACATGACTTGATCAAACATATAAGAGAAAAGAAGAGAAAAGTTCAAACTGGCATAAACTAATAAAGATGGTATAATGGTGGGCGCCAAGATTCCTCTCGGATCTCTTGTTATATTAACATAATAGTAAGTGAATCTATAAAATGTCATACACGAGTTCAAACAATACAATAGGGGGGGGGGGGGGGGGGGGGGGGGGGTATGGTGTGTAATTGATGTACTTTATTCTGTGTGCGTATTTAAAACACAGACGTTAATTTTGACAACGAAATATACTTAACAACGATATTTCATATTCTTTTATCAGTATGTGTTGCTTTTCAGAATGTATACTTGTACGAGTATTCATCACGGCCCCTAGAACTGTATCAGAACCGTCCTCTGTACATCTGGCTGAAAAATTTAGGCATTATATACTGGATGGTGGACACCTTCGACTATCGGACGAATCCCGCACGATTTTGGACATAGACAAAGATAGTTTTAAGATAACCCCTACAAATGCATGTCACAATGGTAAGTAAGCATGGATATTACGAAGATACTGTGTATACTTTATTTGAATTGTTACGAGTTACCTCTTTATCCCGAATGTAAATATTGGACACATTTTGTTTTTGAATATTTTTGTATCACTCGCTCTTTAGTCATGTTTAGATTATTTGTTTGTTATTCAGGTCTTCCGTATGTGAATGTAAGTCATGGCATGTTCACTGTTCCCGTTGGCGAGTCGGCCATCTTACAAACCTACATCATCGCTAAGGAAGAAGCTACGTCGATTCGATGGTTTAAACTAAAAAGTGATCAGCAGAGTGCTATAGAGATCGACAACAAAAAGTACTTTGGAGGCTCTGATCTTTCACCCACATTAATCATCCGCAATGCCAATATTGACGATCAAGGACAGTATTTATGTTGGGCAACAAATAAAAGGGGAACTGGCTCGAGCAACATTTCATTCGTTTCAATTCAAAATGGTAAGTATAGACCGGTTATTCAAATATTTGTTCCATTCCTATTAAACATACATGTACAGTGTTTTTTTATAAAAGTAAAATAATCTAAAATATAGGTATACCAGTCCTATGAATATAAAACATTAAACACATGGCACATTGAGAAATATTTTTATTTGTTAAATAAAGTAAATGGACTTAGTGTCATGACATTTAGCAAGAAGGTACCTGTTGGGTTCTACAACTTGTCTTCCAAGGCCATATTTATCAGATATATAAAATATGTTTTAAACAACTTCTGAATAACCAGAAGGACAGTGATATATTTTCCCAATAAGTGTGTACCTAGGATGTAGTTCTATGAAGTTTCCTCAAATAAATGACCTTGACTTACTATCAAGGTCACAGGGCAGATGTTAACAAAATGTTTTACACAACTCCTTCTGAATAACCATGAGCCAAGGGCAATGCTAGTTGGCCAGTAATTACCTGGCATGGAGCGATATACATTTTTAATATTAAATATCTTTTAAACAACTTCTTTATAATAACGGAAAATGTCAGGGTGATGAAAATTGGACAAAAGCATTTTGGGAAAGAGAAGTAAAAAGTTTCAAAATTCTTCTGAATAACCTGGAAGGGTATTGATATTAAGCCAGTATAAACGTAGGGTCTGTCTCCCCAGAGTGCAGCATGAAGGGCCTCCGTAAAGGTAACCAGAGAAAAATCTTCAAACTCCTCCTTCATTACCGATTAACTTTCCTTAATCATATTGTCTGAACATTCTCAAGCCAAGGAGACTCAATATGTTGAAATATTTGCAAAAATACTTTTATTGCTGTAATATCCAGGTGAGCAATAAAGACCATCTGGCTTAGTTTTAGTTTAATATTGTTAACGTCCTATTAACGTGCCTACATGTGTTGTGTATACGTGTGTTTGTGCCGGAGACGAGGTATGTTGGTGTAATTGCCTCTTTGTGATAGCGCGGATCTGATGTCGTCTTTATAGTGCTATATCACTGAAATACCATGCTGAAACACCTAGCAGAGCGTTCCGCCCAGTCACATTATACTGACAACAGCTGAACCAGTCGTTGCCATTACCCTTAATGCTGAATGTTAAGCAAAGAATAACAACTACCATTTTTAATGACTTTGTTATGTCCCGGCCTTTGGGACAAAACCCATTGCCTTTCATCACCTAGGCGAACATTCAACACTTAAGTCAAAAGTAAGGCAGTGCCAAGCAAGGCGCTAGGAGATAGGTATGGATTGGTTTGGTTTATTATTATTTAACGTCCTATAAACAGCTATGGTCATTTAAGGACGGCCTCATATGTGTGCAAGATGCATGGGTGTAGTGTATGCTTGTGTGTTTTGGGAGGCTACCATATGTTCGTGTTTGTCTCCTTGTGATAGCGCGGAACTGATGCCGTCGTTATAATGATACCTCACTGAAACATACTACCGAAGACACCAACCCGGTCACATTATACTGACAACGGGCGAACCAGTTGTCCCACTCTTAAATTGCTGAGCGTTAAGCAGGAGTAAAAACTACCATTTTTACAGACTCTGGTATGTCTTGGCCAGGGGACAGAACCCAAAGCCTTCTTCACAGGGGCGAACGCTACAGCTAGGCATAAAAGATAAGATCCCAAATTAAGTCGCCTCCTTCGATCAAGCAATGGGGGCAGCAGGTACAATTCTTACGCCTTACCTGCAGGGAACGCCAGGAAATAAAAGGTAATTAGAGGTAGAGAGCAATACAAAGATCCCAAATATTGCAATGGGTACTCTTTTTTACATGGTGACGTTTTGGAAAATATGCAATGCCTCGCTTTCCCAGTTGTCAACTTAGATGGCCTTATAAGGTAATTGGTCAAATGTTTAACATGTTGTTCAATTTTGCTCCAATTTGTATTGCACATTGTAGGTGCAATTAAAGACTGCAAATGCTACCTGACATCCATTTCTAGATCTGTCAATATGGTTGCTGTATACTGGTGTACTTTGTAACTGTTAAATCTACCGGTCAACAAAATTCATTTTCCAATTGGACAGAGTAGCTGCCTTATAATGGCTGCTGATTGGTGGAAATTTAGATATTGGCCGACTTTGCTCAAATATTAGTATAATGAAGTATTAGTTGTGAAGATGTGTTACGCCGTTTTGAAATAAACAACAGCATAGGGACTTCTTTGTGTATCATATACGACCGGGGACGGAGTCGAGGACATTTCAAAGGCGGCCGTTACAATCAGAACTTGTTCAACATTTATATCATACCTTATGAAAAAGGGGAGAATATGAAAACGATAAAAATACAGAAACATGATATGCCTACGTGCTCGTTTTCTCACTGTGACAAAGACACATTGCACGCATTTTGCATCATATGCGATTTCCGATGAGATTTATTACTTGGACTGACCATACAATATTTTCAAACAAATTAAAAGAACACTTTTTGGACCAATCGAATTATTCGACAAACCGGGGCTATCCGATTAATGCTAGTTATAGGAAATGGAGATTCTTTGTGCCTTATTCTGTGCGAAATATTTAAAATGTGGTCATATTAAAGTACCATTGCTGTGTTTACTTCTCGGAAGATTACTGGCATTATAATGACTAAAACATGCCTTTGTATGTACTTATATAGGGCGAATTAACGGCACAAAACGCAAAAGGACCCCCATGACAACCTGTCACAGTAACAAACCAGGTATGCATAACTGCATTTACAAAATATAATTAACCATTTCTCCATTTTGATATTTTATTCATCTTAATTGAATACACAAACATTTTTTGACTTACAATATATCGTGCTACGGACAGCATGGTAAACTTACTGTTTTGCTAGGCAGATTGTGTCCCTGACATCCTAGTACCAAGTTTTTAAAATACAAATTAGGTATGTGCAATGCAAAACCTTTTTTATTATTTGGCTGTTATGTTTCAGCATTATAATAAATACTTGAATATAACATAACGAGTAGTCTTCCAATATGTTTTTGTAATTAGTACCATTTATAACTATGAAAAATTGTATACGTCCAATTCTTTGGGCGAGGAAATCGTGTAGGCGCATACGCAAGTGGCGTACGTTTCTTTTATTCCGTACCAGACATTTATTTGTTCAGTTGTATATACGGGTGTTGGATGGGGATCTCAACCGTTCTCATGCTATGACCAAGGACACAAAACCCATGGGACGAAGACAGACGATTTAGCCAATCCTAGTACAAGTAATGTTTTCATCTTTTCATTCCTAGCAATCACTTTCAAAGTCATTGTGTGGACATTGAAAGTATTTCGTTCTTATTAACCAAGCACCAAGAAGCCAGGCTGGGGCTGTACTCCTGAGCCAATCCTTGTAGAATTGAAATTATCATCTCTGCATGCCTTTCAGTTGTATTTATTGAAATATAGAAGGGATCTCACCTATTTCCGTGTAATGACCAAGGGAATAAGTCCCTAGGGTTCAGCTACACCCGTGGCCAGTCCAAGTAGCATGAGTATTATGTCTCTTCCGGACAAGCAACTGAACAGAATACAAGCTGTTACCTTCTTATTGCCCCCATCTAATTAGTCGTTCCGGACAAGTAGCGAATTGAATAAGTAGTTTACGGAGGTATGCCGCGCCAAGGCATACACTCTCAAGGTGAGCATAATGCATAAAATACTGTTTTTTTTATTTTTACAGCTGTGATGCATGGAACAAAACCAAAGATGATTTGTTTGGAAAGTGAGGCAACATCCGGAGAGATGCCCCATTCGACGGATTTTACTTTCACAACACTCCCGGAGCAGAACTTTGAACCAATAACACTAGTCAAAAAACGACACATTGAGACTGTGCGTTCGCCATCTGATATAACTGGTAATTCTGCTAATACGCCTGGAGTTTCTTGTTTGTTCATGCCTAGCAACTGAAAATATGTTAAGTTGTGGGAATACCAACGGATGCCTTGATATGGCCCGGAGAGTAAATTTCAAGGGGTCGTGTGAGGTCAAGAGCCGATCCTTATATAATGAATGTATTCGTCTATTCGAGCCTAATTTCATTATCTAAACTGTTATTAGAGCTGCTATTTGATGAACAAATTCACCTGATTACATTTACTTATTTGATACATTGCTTTTTGCGTAACAACTACATAGATACTACAAATATAATTATTATACCAGAGAATTGCTATTATAACCTCATAGTCATATTTGAGATCTTTTTCTTTCCCTCTACCTATAACTGCCATTTATTTCCTATTGGTTTCGGTTGGCAATGCCCCACTTTTGATATTTGGTGATGAACATTCACCCAAGTGGGGAAGGCAATGGGTTCTGACTTTAGGACGAGACAAAAGGTGTACTTAAAAATGGTAGTAGTTATTCCTTGCTTCGCGCTCAGCATTTACAGTAATAGTAAAACTGGTTCGACCATTGTCATTGTAATGTGACCGGGAGGAATACTGAGCTAGGTGCGTTCGGCAGGGTAGTTCAGTGAGGTAGCATTACAAAATCGGACAATTTATAGCTAATTTGCAAAAGTAAAGCAGACCGCGTACATTACGAACATTAAATTATGTCCTTAATATGTTCTTACATGTAGCTGTAAATGGCACGCTTAACCCAATAATACCAAACCAAATGAAAGGCGGTTGATACACTACAGCGAATATACATCGCTTACAAGTGTTTAAGTTAAAATAATTGTTTTTGTATACGCTGAATCTAATATCGCGACAAATGTATAACAAACTGTATACCACATTTGAATATTTCACTGTAGATTCGGGTGATGACTATGGACAGCCATCAAGCTCCAAATCATCGTCAAGCGCCAGAGGATCACCACCTTTAAAGAACACGTTAGTATCTTCGACAATGAGAAAACGATATCGAATGTACAATTATGCATGTCTTACACTTTAAAAGTGGCAAATGAACTCGACTTCTGATGAAAGCTCAGATGTCATTTCTTAACACCGAATAGCGGTTTAAGCTCACCTGGCCCAAAGTGCCAAGTGAGCTTATGCTATGGCGCAGCGTCAGTCGTCCGTCAACTTTTTCCTTTAGCGCTACTAGTCCCGAACGATTGAGTGCTTTTGACCAAATTTGACCTGAAGTATCATTGGCCAAATGGTTCTCAATTTTGTATAAACGGAGGGTATTGCCTCCAAAGGGGCAGAGGGGCTGGGCCAAATAGGGAGGGGAGTTAAATCTTCAAAAATCTTCTTTTTCTCAACCAATAGCGGGATTTTGACCAAAAATGCTCTAGAGCATCTTTGGACAAAGGGCCCTCAATTTTGTATGGGTCTGGAGCAAGCGTTCAATTTCAAACAAACTGAGGGAATGCCTCTGCCTCCCAGGGGGCAGAGGGGCGGGACCCAACAGGGGAAATGAAGGGATTTAAACTAAATATGGTCTTGAGTAGGGTATGTACCCCCAGGGGCAGAGAGTAGGGGGAAAACAAGGTAAATCTTCAAACATCTTCTAAACCAAAAAAGGGATTTTGACCAAATTATTTCTAGAGCATCTTTGGACAAAAGGGCCCGAATTTTGTATAAATAGAAGGTGCCCCCCTTGAGGGTAGAGGGACTGCGCCTCCAATAGGGAAAATGAAGATATTTTTTTTCCTTCTGTACAAAAGAAGGGATTGAAACCAAATTTGGTCTAGATCATTCTTACGGTAAGATAACTCAATTTTGTGTAAACTTAGGCTGTGGCCCTGAGGGTTGAGGCCAAATAGGGGAAATAGAGGTAATTTTAAAAGCATTCTCCTGTGTGAAAGGAGAGATTTTGACCAATTCTGTTCTAGAGCATCTTTGGACAAACGGACCTCGATTTCGTATAAACGGAGGGTGTGGCCCCCCCCTTTGGGCAGAGGGGTGGGGTCCAATATTGTAAATTAAGGAAATATTTTTTTAAACTTTTCTCTGATACAAATTGAAAATTTTTAACAGATTTTGGTCAAGTGAACCCGCAGGTAATAACCATTTATATGACATTGCTAGACATGAAGAATGCACTCGGGATATTAATATCTCACCTACCCAAACAGGTTTACATGTAGTCCTTCTCGCAACTTGTATTTCTTGTACTCCTTTGATAAACTGGTATGGTACATCCTGAGCAGGTTTTAAAAAATCGAGTTCCAGGTGAGCCCCTGAGCTTCTTGTTTTATATTGTTATATTTTGGTATCATGTAAACAATTTGTGCTAAATTTTAAAAAATGGGGTTTTGATGCACACATGCCAACATGGTGTGTAAAGAGCTCAGGTAGTTTTAGCTGAACGATTTTGATGTTAAGCCCACCAACATAATCATCATCAGAAGTGGGCTATTCAAATCACTTTCCGTCCGTAGTTCGTCCGTCCGTTCTTAAACAATTATTGTTCCTGTTATGCATATTGAATTTAAAGACTGATCAGAAAAACAGAAATGGCAGACAGCCGGCCATCTTGGAGTTTTAGAGTTACGTTTGGTTTTAATTTTATTGTCTTCCTATCAACAGCTAATGTCATTTAAGGCGTACTTTTATGTGTGATATGTATTGTTTGGCAATACCTCACCTATGACTTTAATAGTGGACGTTCTCCAGATGAGGAAGGTAATGGGTCCTATCCCAAGGCCGGGACATATCAAAGTCGGCAAATATGAAAATCGTTATTTCCCTGCTAAACATTCAGCACTAAAGGTAATGGCAACAACTGGTTCACACGTTGTCGGTATAATGTGCCTTGGTTGAATGCTATGCCGAGGGTCTTTGCATGGTATTTCGGTGAGATTGCACTATAAAGTCGGCAACAGATCCGCGCTTTCACAAGGATGCAAATACACACAAAACACAAACATACCCTGTCTCCAGCACACATACTCACACGCACGCATACACAACAGTTACACACTTGGAGACACGTCCTTAAAATACTTATTGACTTTTTATTCACATATTAAACTTGCGTCAGATTTACCTTTTTTATTTTTTGGCAGTGACCCGACTGCAGAGATGCATTCCCAATACATCGGAACACAAGGTAAACGTGTTTACTACGTTATCAAACAGACGTATTGTATTGCGTAAAAACCATGATAATAATATAGCATAATCAAGGCCATGGAACATTAATTTGTCTATCTCCGTGTAGTTTCTAGAAGGACGTCCCCCCCCCCTGCAGAATCGGGGTTTTCCTTTTTTTGTCTTCTGTTAAGGGGACACTGAAGAAATCAAAAAAGCTCTGCTGCCCAAATTGCAACACTTTGGATCTTTACATTCTTCTTAGTTCCCTACTTTCTCTGTCCGTCTTCATTTCACCAGATTTGCTTATAACCAGGATGCGGTTGTACTCCTGATGTAATCCTTAAAACCAGAACATAATTATATCTACAAGCCTGTCAGTAGTATTTATTGAAATGAAGAAGGGATCCATGTAATGACCAAGGGAATAAGGGCACAGCTATACCCGTGTGCAGTCCAAGTTGCATGGGTATCTTGTCCTTTCATCATTGTAACTGAACATATGGTTATAGTGTTGGACTAACAGCTGTTTCCAAGCTATGACCCAAAGAGTAAATATCAAGAGGTGATATTATACCAAAGGGCAAACCCAAAAATTATGAATGTAGTCATCTCTATATGCCTAACAATGGTATATTGGATTATAGGGTTAGGATATTAACTGTTTCGAAGCTATGTTCCAGGGCATACGTCCAAATGGGTGGAACGAGACCCCCAAAGAGAGTGTCGTTATCTGGTTATAAGGTGGAGCTCTCAACCTGTTATGCCCTACAATTTCCCAAAAATGGTCAAACTTATATTCAGTCGTTCTGGACAGGTAGTGTTTTAAATGAAAGTTGACGGAAGTATACCGCGACATGGTATGAACGCTCCAGCTGAGCTAATCAGATATACTGTGTATTTATTTTTACAGCTGTAACGCTTGAAATGCCAATAGCTCTAGGAAAACAACGGCGCATCCAGACGGAGCATTCGCCATCTGATATAACTGGTAATTATGCAAGTACGCCTTGTGAAGTAAGCGCCCTATTTGTGTTGAAGGAGGCGTAGGTCTCTATACATATGATTTCAATTGCATTGCATTGGGCCCCTGCAAGATTATGCAAAGAATATGCCTGCTGTAACTCATTGCATGTTGTGAAAGGCGACTGATTTCGGGCTCCCAACAGAATCGGGGTTGTTCGTCTTTGTATTTTACTAAGAGGACATAGATGTAACAAAAGTTGATCTACATCCCCCATTTCAACATTTGGGACTTTCAACTTTTATATCAACTTTATAAATCTCTTTCTTCTTCTAATGCCTTGTTTAGCAAAACCTCACTTTTTACCACTTGTTGCACGTTCGCCCAAGTAAGGAATACCAAACACACCTCAGTAACCATGACATACAACAGTGACTTACATGGTATACATAACCTAATTTTAGCATATTTTCTGATTGTCATTATAAAAAAGCTTTAAAAAAGTGATCTTAAAGATGACAGTTATTCATCGAATATAAACCATAAAGGCCATTTCTAAATATTCACGCTTACATCGGCGTCGCTTACGTGTATACTTGATATGACACACCCTCATACACGTAAACATTACAGCGAGAATCATAACATGTTCACAATGGCAGATATATTATTTGACATTAGTTCTTAGATTGACGTTATTAAGGTATTGGCCATTCATCAGTTATTTTATCAATTGCTGATCCCTCTTCTTATTTTAGAGAACTCAACTGCCGAATGTGTTGAAGAAACTGCGTCCAAGAGTCCCGGTGATGCCGCAGGTAATAAAAACAGACAGATATATATTTTTATTATTTTAATGTTTTCCCAGTGAGATATCCAGTCTCCCTAACTTAATAAATCTGATATAATATTCTGATACAGCTGAAGCGAAAATTTTATTGTTTTCTCGCTGAATACCATGTATACATATATCACTCGTATCGAGGAATTTACCAATATTGTCACTCCTGCTTCACACTCGTGCATTATCCTCAATAGTAAACCATTGTATGTCATCTGTATAAACTGTTATAATTCTAACTCCAAATGAGATTTTAAGAGGAAAATTGAACAATTTAGTTTAATATCCATACATAAAATATTGATGCTGTTGGTACTATGATTTCTAACTACAGCGAAGTTTAAGCCAAATGGTACACGATCTGTTGAGAGTTGTAAAATATTTCTGATTCTGCCGAAGCATATTAACCAGAAATTATTAATTCTTTGAGTTTTCCGTTTAATGTAGATAGTAACAAAATCAATTTCCCTTTTACAAAGAAAGATATAGAAGACGCTGTTTTACGTGCTTCATTTAATAAAAGGCAGTAGGTAAAGACGAAATTCATTTTTGTGTAGCCTAATCCAGCTTGTGTAGATCTTTTTATCGAAGACAAAAAATGGTACATTTCAGAAACCCGGCAGTGCCTTACTACAAATGAAGTTACAAATACTAACTTCATTTGTAGTATATCTCCTATGGATATTAACCAAAAATTTAATTATCTTGAGCTGATTTTCGTGCTGAAAGATCAATTGAGGAGAACAACTTGAAGGGAATATTAAATGTTTGTCGTTTATAAAAAAGAATTAAAAGCTAGCTTGCAGATGGCAGTTATTCTTTGAATACAAACCATAAAAGCAATTTCTAAATATACAATTTGACGTATTTTTTTTGTTCATTCATTCATGTTTTTTTCAATTGCTGATCCCTCTCCTTTTTTAAGAGAACGTACCTCGTAAATTTGATTCAGAAACTGCATCAAAAAGTTTCAGTGACGTCGTAGGTAATGACGACGGCGATATATAGATATATTTTACATTTTTGCCAGTGAGATATCGAATTTTATCAGCTTAATAAATCTGATATCTTTTACTCTTTGAAAAATTTCGATATTGTTCTGATACAGATGAAGCGATGGTAGCAACAGTGATTGCATTTGGACATATTTCCTACATGTTTATGAAAGCAAATTTTGGCAAAACTGTAAAAATAAAACATTGTGTTAAGTTACATTGCACGTAACCTTGTTGTCAAGGGCGACATTATTGGAATAAGGCGCCAAACGTTACACTATTTTTACTGTCAACTGTTTTGTGTGGTACACTTCTTGTTGTTGTAACTTTCAAAATAAATAGATAGAAAAATGTGAAAGTTTCCCGTTGAATACCATATATATATATTCAACTTGTATTGCTCCTTAAGTGCGTCATTGTTCACGTTTATGTGATAGTACGTAATATTACCACACGTGTCCTATATTCATAAAAAGAATCATCAAGTATGTTTTGCATTTACTGATGTAATAGTCACAATAAAATGTGCTGTTGTCTGTTAATCTAGATGAAAACATGCTATTCCAGCCAAAACTAAGTGGAGGAGTCATCAGTGATCTTACAGGTATGCCCCTGATTATATCTAGCATGGTTTTTAAACCCGTTCAGGTTTGTGGAAGGTATAGACATGCTGTGTCCCAATGCATGATCGGTAGATAAATGGTTTTCCTATCTATCTTGTCTTTATTTTATCTACTTTCTTTGCTCGGCAGTGTCTCCCTAGACACCCGTCATCATATCACCCTGGCTGTTACGAGGACGTTAAACTCCAAACAAACAAGCAAACCGAATGGTTTTTAGGAAATAATTGAAACAGATTATTGCATAATACATTATTCTTAGGTGTCGAGACAAGCATGTAACGAACATATACCTGTATGTAATCAATCATTCAGTTGGAATTTAGATTGTGATATATTTACATATTTATATTTGCGCCGCAACCGACTATAAGAACATTACCAGCAGAAATGCATTTCATTTAAGTATGAAAGCAAAAACTCTCATGACGTAACATGTGGTTTACTAAAGACGTCATAGATTAACCTTGTTTACTGAGAGTCTTGTCGCTTTATTTCGGATAACATGGAAAATACCCCTGCATCAAACGCTCAAATGACTACGGTTAATTTAATGGAGCAAATTTTATGAAATAGGCTGTTCCATCAATGTCGTTTAAATGACGACGCTTATTCAAACGCAGTTTTATATAAACAAATCATTTCAGAACAAATCACTAAAATTAAACAATTGCTCTATAGTAAAAATGTAAATGCGTGGATTGAACGGTTTTTTAAATTTTCATGTCGGTATGAACGCAGGCTTCATGCAAAATGAATGCAACCGATTTGCGTTCATACTGCCATGAAAGTTAAAAAAAAAACGCCGTTCAATCTCTGTATGAAACACAATGACTTATATCAAAGCTGCTTATGATATCGCGCTTTTTGTCGTACTATCAACATATCCTGAACCACCAACACTGTACAGTAACTATGTCCTGTTTTGCAGCAGTGCCAATGGGTTCTGTCCCCAGGCCGGGACATACAAAAGTCCTTAAAAATGGTAGTTGTTATACCCTGCTTCAGCATTAACGGGTATGGCTACATGTACAACTAGTTCACTCGTTGTTAGTATAATATGACCGGGCGGAATGCTGTGCGGGGTGCCTTCGGCATGGCATTTTAGTGAGATAGCACTATAAAGTCGGCATCAGATCTGCGCTATCAGATGGAGACAAGCACACCAACATACATGCAAGCACGCATACACTACACACATGGAAGCACGTCCTTAAATGACCTAAGCTGTTAATAGGACGTTAAACAAAAACAAACTAAAACCAAACCAAACCAGTGGTAATTACGATGATCATACATGAGATTGTTGTAATACACTATGTATTGTGATAATCAGGATATGTTTAATGGTTAATGTAGAATATCATATATTTGTTACAGACAGCAGAATACTAATATCTTTGTGTACACTGGGTATATGAGAGGTACTCAACAGGGGGGAAACATTTTATTTTCCATTTCTTCCTTTTATACCCCCTACAGCGACGAAATATTTACTGCATCAAAATTGTGTGGTAGTAGCGAACGATTTTACCTTTTGCTTAATATATTATCTGTCGAATTTGTCTTAACATATTGTCAACTGTGTTGTAGAGTAAAAACATGTTTAGTATGTAACGAAGATTGATCATCTGAACACAATGTCTGAGGCATTGAATGTATTGAATAGGAAGAACTGTTTTTATTGGTAAATACAAAACATGATATTTTCATACTGTGACAGTTATCACTCTTTATATTTGTCACAATATGAAAGGTATACGTTTTATCGGGTTGATAGAAAATGCAATGGTTTTTTATTTGCGAGAAATAATAAAATCTTGTATAAGGTATATAATTTATGTACCATGTACTTTAATCATAACATGTATAATAATTGAGTTGGTTCTTTTAGGTCATTTGACCATGGGTCATGGTGACCTACATGTATTGTAATTCGTCTTCGTTCATCGTCGTGCGTCGTCTGTCGTACATTTTACTTTCTCAAAAACTGCTTGGTCAAATTTAATGTAACTAGGCACAAGTGATCAGCATGGCATGTAGTTTTAGTTGTGTTCAAATGGAGGGGCCAAGGGTATTAAGGTTCCCAAAGGGGCAAACCAAGAAAACAAATGTGAAATTTTAAACAAATATTTTTTTCAAGAAGTACCACAGGGGGTTGTTTTACATGCATGATGCCTTGGTGATGTAGATCCACTAACGTATTGTATTGCGTAAAGAACCGTGATGATATTAAAACATAAGCAAGGCCAAGCAAAATACATTTGTTGTTCTCTGTGTAGGTTCGAAAAGCACTTCGTCCCAGCCCCACTCCCCCTGCAGAATCGGGATTTACTTTTTTGTCTTCTGTTTAAGAGACACTGACGATATAATAAAACCTTGTTACCTTGTTACTTTAATTGCAACACTTTGGAACAAATTTGGGATAATCATGGAGAGAACAATCTGACGATAAATTACGGTTATACCAATATTGAACAAATATTAATTTGTGGATTGACAGTATCATTCAGAAATATTGTTGTTGAAAAATATTAAATTTGTGACGGATCCATTACAACATAATATCACTTTACTGTTTAGTTAAAGAGTTTGGTATGAGTAATGACCAGGGATGCCAGACATCATTTGTCATTAAAAACAAAACAGACCCAAAACGACCGGAATTAGTATCTGACATTTCAAATGAATTAGCAGTAGCAACTAATGCAAACGAGCGAGTGAAAGACATCACATTAAAACCAAGTAAGTGAACATTCACAAAAATAAAATGTAAATCTTGAAAACACGTTTATGAACGGACACATTGTTCAAAGGATGTTTTAAATGCATGTATGTACTTGCCATGTTATCATGCTACCATGCTACCGCATAACGACTATACATGATCACGAAAACAGTATAAAAGCAATCATAACTTATATATTATTTTCAGAATGCATACTTGTCTGCATAGATATCACGCCCGCTAGAAGTCGAGAAAACCGTCATCTGTACATACTTTAGCATGATCTGTATTGTGTCAACGTACATATGTACTACCATTGTTGTGTTTACTTCTAGTAATTTGATTGGCATTATAATGACTAAAACATGCCTTCTTATGAACTCATACAGGGGGAATTAGCGGCACAAAACGCAAAACACCCTGTCACAGTAACCAACCAGGTATGCATAACTGCATTTACAAAATATAATTAACCATTTCTCCATTTTGATATTTTATTCAGCTTAATTAAATACTCAAAACATTTTGCCTTACAGTATATCATGTTACGGATAGCATGGTAAAGTTACTGTTGTGCTAGGCAGCTTGTGTTCCTTACATATTCTAGTAAATGTTCGTCCTGATAGTAATAGTGTCTTTATCTTTTCACGCCTAGCAATTGTATATTTTGTTATAGGGTGGAGCTCTCATCCTGTTATGCCCTTCAATTTCCCAAACATGGTCAAACATTCTATTCAGTCGTTTTGGACAAGTAGTGTTTTAAATGGTTTACACTTTCCAGGTGAGCTATTGATTTATACTGTGCATTAATTTGAACAGCTGGGATGCTCGGAACAACACCAAAGATGATTCGTTTGGAAAGTGAGGCTGGAAAGGTTCCCCATTCACCGGATTCTACTTTCACGGCAGTTACGGAGCTGGACTCTGATCCAATAACTCTGGCAAAACCCCGACGCATTAAGACATCTGATATAACTGGTAATGTCTGCTGATACGACTTTGTGAAGTCAGTGCCTTATTTGTGCTGAAGGAGTCGTAGGTATATATACATATAATTTGTATTGCATTGCCTTGGGCCCCTACATGTTTTGGAATATGCCTGCTGTAACTCACTGTTTGGTGTAAAAGGCGAATAATGTCAGACTCCCAACAGCATCGGGGTTTTTCTTCTGTGTATTTTGCTAACAGGACATGAATGTAACTAAAACTGATCTACATCCCCTATTGCAACATTTGGGACTTCTTACTTTTCTACCAACGTCATAGTGCCTTGCTTAGCAATACCTCACTTTTTCCCTTTCTGTTGCACGTTCGCCCAAGTAAGGAATGACGAATACACCTCAGTAGCCATGACATAAAAAAGTGACTTACATGGTATGCATAACTAAATTTTAGCATTTTTTCTGATTGTCTTTTATAAAAAAGAATTAAAAGCGATCTTAAAGATGACAGTTATTTATTGAATACAAACCATAAAGGCAATTTTTAAATATTCACGCTTACATCGGCGTCGCTTACATGTATACTTGATATGACACACCCTCATACACCAAAACATTACAGCGAGGATGATAACATGTTATCAATGGCATATATATCATTTGACGCTAGTTCTTAGATTGACGTAATTTATGTATCGGCTATTTACCAATTCTTTTATCAATTGCTGATCACTCTTCTCATTTCAGATAACTTACCTGCCAAATATGGTGCATTTTTATTTTAATGTTTTGCCCGTGAGATATCCAGTCTCCTAAACTTAAAAAAAAAATGATATAATATTATGATACAGCTGAAGCGACGATTGTTACAGTGTTTGTATTGGTACACATATCCTACATACACTAATATATTGTTTTACCTGCAACATTGTACCTATTTCTAAAGCAAAACTTATCAAAGTAAGCAAATATTTTAGAATACGAATTGTGTTTAGTAACCCATCAGACATTGCGCCTACCCTTGTTGTCAAGAGCGACATTATTGGAATGAGGCGCCAAATATTACGTTTTAATATAAGTTGTCAACTGTTCATTTGGTTCGTTGTTGTACCTTTTAAAAGTAATGAATACACTTTTTATAGTTTTCCTGCTGAATACCATATCTTCATTGCAATCGTATGGAGGAATTTACCAATATTTGTTTTCACCCCTGCTTCACACTCGTGCATTATTCCCAACGGGAAACTAGTGAATATCCTCTATATAATAAGCATCGATAAATATTCGAATTGTAGTCCCATAAATACGACTTCTTGAGTGTTTATGTGATATAAGGTAATATTATCACCCAAGTGTTATTTTCATAAATAGAATCATAAGGTATGTTTTGCATTTACTGATGTTATATTCACAACAAAATGTGTTGTTGTCTATTAATTAGATGAAAACATGCCAGTCCAGCCGAACCCAAGTGGAAGAGACCTCTGTGCTTCTACAGGTAATAATGATCCTCATATATAGAATGGTTATTAAACCCGTGTATGATCGGGGAAAAAATAGACATGTCGTGTCCCAATGCATGATGATCGTAAGAGGCTACCGATGCGCCCTCCCTCTTCCTCTGCAAAATTTGGAAGGGTGGGGTTTTGCTTGTCTTCTGTTAGCGGCACATGGAAGTAACCAAAAAAGCGTGCATGTGTGTATGTGTGCCGGTATGTTGGTGTATTTGTTTCGTAGTGATAGCGCGGATCTGATGCCGACTTTATAGTGCTATCTCGCTGAAATACCATGCCAAAGGCACCCAGCACACCAGCCAGCTCGGTCACATTATACTGACAACGGGTGAACCAGTTATTGCCATTACTCTAAATGCTTAACGTTAATTGATAATAACAACTACCATTTTAAGGACTTTGATATGTCCCGGCCTGCGGACGGTGCTAATTGTCTTTCATCACCTGGGCAAACGTTCAACATTAACGCCAAGTGAGGTGATGCCAAGCAAGGCGCTAGGAAACTCAAATGTAGTCAGAAGTAGAAAGTTTTGTTTTATTTTTGTTTTGTTTAACATCACATGTTGTCCATCGACAATGCGAGTCATTCAGGGCCAAATAACACTGTTAAAAGAGTCATTCACGAAAATGAAAACATCAAATCGAAACTAAATAGTTAAAAATATCTAAAGTATTTAGAAATACATCAGCAGCAAACGAATTGCAAAATATATCATTCTATTGTGAAGATCAATTGAGTGTCAAAAAGAGGGCACAGAAGCAAATCACCAATTCCGCACATAAGTAGCCTATTATATTAAAATGCCGAGGGTAACAGCATGTGTACTCATTTATTAGTCCCTACCGCTGAAATGGGAGATGGGGGGCACTAGTGTTCCTCTCCGTCCGTCTGTGTACGTAACTACGTATGTATGTTCGTACGTACGTAAAACCAATGTTTGTCAGCGCCCTAGCAGCTTCATTCCTTGCGGGATTTTGATCAAACTTCACACAATTACAAAGGACCATAATATCTCGATTAGGTATGAGTTTCAGGATTGTTGGGTCAAAGTCACTGTTACTATTATAAGAAAATCGTTGTCAGTGCTCTAGCGGCTTCATTCCTTGAGGGATTTTGATCAATCTTCACAAAATTACAAACAATCATAATATATCGGATATGTTCAAGCACAGGGTTGTCAGGTCAATGTCACCGTTACTATTTAAGAAAAATACTTATCAGCGCTTTAGCGGCTTCATTGCTGGCCGAGACATACCAGAGTCTGTATAAGGGTAGTTTCTACCCCTGCTTAACGCTAAGCAATTAAGGAGTGGGACGACTGGTTCGCCCGTTGTCAGTATTATGTGACCTGGTGGGGTGACTTGCCGGGTGTCTTCGCTAGTATGTTTCAATGAGTTAGCACTAAAAGGTAGGCATCAGTTCGGCACTATCACAAGGAGACAAACACGGAATATATCGCAGACGTTAAACAATACTAAACCAAACCAAACATATGATGATATTGTGGGAATACGAACGGTTGCCTTGTTATGGCACAGATGGCAAGAAAACCAAGGATGATTCGGGTGGTAAGAAGCATTAAGACTGAGCGTTTGCCATTCTATAAAACTGGTATTTACTCCGATACGCCTTTATGAAGTCAGCGCCTTATTTGTGCAGAAGGAGACATTGGTCTAAATATATTGTAGCATAAACATATATAATTTTAATTATATTACCATGGGCACCTGCAGACTCGGGGATAGACTATGCCTGCTGTACCCCCTGTAGGTCTTAAAGGCGACTTATTCTGGGCTCCCAACAGAATCGGGGTTTACTTTTGTATCTTTTATCAAGAGGACATGTATGATACCATAATTATTCTCTTTCCATCATTGCAACGTTTGGGACTTCACATTTTCTATATTAAAATATCTTGTTATATTATTTGTGCTTAGCAATACATGCACCTCCCTTTTTTCTGAGTGTTGAACGTTCGCCCAAGTAAGGATTGCTGAATACTCCTCAGTAACCATGACATAAACAGTGACTTTCGTGGTAGGCATAACTAAATTTTAGCATATTTTCTGATCGTCGTTATAAAAGAAGATTAATAGTGGTCCTAATGATGATAGTTATTTATCGAATACATGTATACTTGATATGAAACACTCTCATACAACAAAACACTACTGCGAGGATGATAACATGTTATCAATGGCAGATATATAACTTGACGTAAGTTCTATGATTGACGTAATTTATGTATCGGCTATTTACTTAATTCTTTTATCATTTGCTTATCTCTCTCCTTATTTTAGAGAACTTACCTGCCATATGTGGTGACGAAATTGCGTCCAAGAGTCTCCATGACGCCGCAGGTAATAAAAACAGGCAGATATATAGATACATTTTATTTTTTTGCTTGTGAGATTTCCCGTCTCCACAACTTAATCCATCTGATATAATATCCTTATACAGCTAAAGCGCGGTTGTGACAGTGATTGTATTGGTACACATATCCTACATACACTAATACATTGGTTTACCTACAACATTATATTGTTTATGACAGCAAAACTTACCGAAATAGCAAACATGTTAGAATAAGAATTGTGTTTCATAATCATTTCGACATTGCGCCTACCCTTGTTGTGAAGAATGACATTATTGAAATAAGGCGCCCAATATCCAAATATCAACTGTTAATTTGGTAACAAGTTCGTTGTAGTAGCTTTCGGAAATAATAAATACATTTTTTAAAGTTTTCCTGCTGAATACCATACCTATATTTCAATCGTATGGAGGAATTTACTAAAAAAACAATCACCCCTGCTTCACACTCGTGCATTATATTCTCAACGGGAAACCATTGAATATCATCTATATAATAATCATCGATTAATGCTCGAATTGTAGTCCCTAAATACGACTTCTTGAGTGTTTATGTGATATAAGGTAATATTATCACCCAAGTGTTATTTTCATAAATAGAATAATCAGGTTTGTTTTGGATTTATTGATGAAATATTCACAACAAAAGGTGTTGTTGTCTATGAACTAGATGAAAACATGCCAGTCCAGCCGAACCAAAGTGGAAGAGACCTCTGTGATTCTACAGGTAAAAATGATTCTCATATATAGAATTATTATTAAATCCGTGCATGTTCGGGGAAAGAATAGACATGTCGTGTCCCAATGCTCTATTTTATACAATTACAAAGAACCATACTATCTCGGACAACTAATAGCTAGCGGGGGCCGGTGGGGGACATGTTTTGCTATAGCATTAATGTAAACAGGTATTAAAGAACTAAAGTCAAAAATTATGTTTTAGCGTCACTAGGATTGTATTTTTAAATAAGGCGTTTTAACACAGGCATATATTGTGTTCAAGATTCCAATATATTCGTCACAATAGTGATCCTTATGATGAAAGTTATTTATCGAATACATGTATACTTGATATGCAAAACTCTTATACAACAAAACATTACTGCGAGGATGATAACATGTTATCAATGGCAGATATATAACTTGACGTAAGTTCTATGATTGACGTATTTATGTATCGGTCATTCATCAATTGTTTTATCAACTGCGTATCCCTCTCCCTATTTTAGAGAACTTACCTGCTGAATGTGGTGACGAAACTGCGTCCATCGGTGACTCCGCAGGTAGGCATAACTAAATTTTAGCATATTTTCTGATTTTCGTTATAATAAAGAATTAATAGTGATCCTAATAATGATAGTTATTTATCGAATCATGTCAACTTGATATGAAAAACTCTCATACACCAAAACATTACTGCGAGGATGATAACATGTTATCAATGGCAGATATATAACTTGACGTACGTTCTATGATTGACGTAATGTATGTATCGCTCATTCATTAATTATTTTATCAATTGCTTATCCCTCTCCTTATTTTAGAGAACTTACCTGCCGTATGTGGGGACGAAACTGCGTCCAAGAGTTTCGATGACACCGCAGGTAATAAAAACAGGCAGATATATAGATACATTTTAATTTTTTGCTTGTGAGATTTCCCGTCTCCACAACTTAATAAATCTGATATAATATCCTTATACAGCTAAAGCGACTTTTGAAACAGTGATTGTATTGGTACACATATCCTACATACACTAATACATTGGTTTACCTACAACATTATATTGTTTATGAAAGCAAATCTGACCGAAATAGCAAACATGTTAGAATAAGAATTGTGTTTCATAATCCATTCGACATTGCGCCTACCCTTGTTGTGAAGAATGACATTATTGAAATAAGGCGCCCAATATTACACTTTTATATTAGCTGTCAACCAAATACCAACTGTTAATTTGGTACCAAGTTCGTTGTAGTAGCTTTCGGAAATAATAAATACATTTTTTTTTATAGTTTTCCTGCTGAATACCATATCTATATTTCAATCTTATGGAGGAATTTATTAATTTTTTTCACCCCTACTTCACACTCGTGCATTATTCTCAACGGGAAACCATTGAATATCATCTATATAATAAGCATCGATTAATGTTCGAATTGCAGTCCCTAAATACGAGTGTTTATGTGATATAAGGTAATATTATCACCCAAGTGTTATTTTCATAAATAGAATCATCAGGTATGTTTTGCATTTACTGATGTAATATTCACAACAAAATGTGTTGTTGTCTATGAACTAGATGAAAACATGCCAGTCCAGCCGAACCAAAGTGGAAGAGACCTCTGTGATTCTACAGGTAAAAATGATCCTCATATATAGAATGGTTATTAAACCCGTGTCCCCCCCCCTTTTCCCCTGCAAAAGTTGGAAGGGTGGGGTTTTGCTTGTATTCTGTTAGGGGGACATGGAAGTAACCAAACTTGCGTGCATGTGTGTATGTGTGTATGTGTGCCGGAGACATGGTGTGTTGGTGTAGTTGTCTCGTAGTGATAGCGCGGATATGATGCCGACTTTTTATAGTGCTTACTTACTGAATTACCATGCCGAAGGCACCCAGCACAGCGTTTAGCTTGGTCACATTTTACTGACAACGGGTGAACCAGTCATTGCTATTATTCTAAATGCTTGACGTTAAGCTGATAATATCAACATTGTTAAGGACTTTGATATGTCCCGGCCTACGGACGGATCTAATTGCCCTCCTTACCTGGGCAAACGTTTAACATTAACGCCAATGAAATAAAATGTAGTCAGAAAAGAAAGTTCTGTTTAATTTTTGTTTTGTTTAACATCACATGTTGTCCATCGACAATGTGAGTCATTCAGGGCCAAATAACACTGTAAAAAAAAGACATTCACAAAAATAAAAACATCAAACCGAAAATAAATAGTTTGAAATATCTAAAGGATTTAGAAATACATCAGCAGCAAACGAACTGCAAAATATATCATTCTATTGTGAAGGTCAATTGAGTGTCAATAAGAGGGCACAGAAGCAAATCCCCGATTCTACAGGGTGTTCCCCACATAAGTAGCCAATTATACTAAAAAGCCGAGGGTAACACCAATGTTTGTCAGCGCTCTAGCGGCTTCGAAATTCATTCCTTGAGGGATTTTGATCAAACTTCACACAAATACAAAAGACCATAATATCTCGGACAGGTTTGAGTTTCAGGGTTGTTGGGTCAAGGTCGAGGTCACCATTACTATTGTTAGAAAAATCGTTGTCAGCGCTCTAGCGGTTTCATTCCTTGAAGAAATTTGATGAAACTTCATACAATTACAAAGGACCATAATATCTCGGACACGTTCGAGTATCAGGGTTGTTAGATCAAGGCCACCGATACTAGTTTAGAGAATCCTTGTCAGCGCTCTAGCGGCTTCATTCCTTGAGGGATTTTGATCAAACTTCACAAAATTACAAAGGACCATAATATCTCGAATAGGTTTGAGTTTCAGGGTTGTTGGGTCAAATTCACCTTTACTATTTTAAGAAAATCATTGTCAGCGCTCTAGCGGCTTCATTCCTTGCCGAGACATACCAGAGTCTGTATAAGGGTAGTTTCTACTCCTGCTTAACGCTCAGCAATTTAGGAGAGGGACGACTGGTTCTCCCGTTGTCAGCATAATGTGACCGGGTGGGGTGTCCTTCTGGGTGTCTTCGGCAGTACAATAATGTATGTGTATGTGAGGAAGCACTAAAATGTCTGCATCAGTTTCGCGCTATCACAAGGAGACATTCACGAGCATATCGCAGCCTCCCATAACACACACATACACTACACGCATGCATCTTGCAAACAGGGGAGGTCGTCCTTAAATGACCATAGCTGTTGATAGGACGTTAAACAATACTAAACCAAACCAAACCAAAACCTTGCGGGATTTTGATCAAACTTTCCTTACAAAGGACTATACTATCTCGGACAAGTTCGAGTTGCAGGGTTGTCGGGACAAGATCAAGGTCACCGTAACTATTTTCAGAAAATCCATGTCAGCGCTCTATTTTATACAATTACAAAGAACCATACCATCTCGGACAAGTAATAGCTAGCGGTGGCCGGTGGGGGACATGTTTTGCTTTAGCTATACTCAGTTTACTTGTTGTTCCACGATCTGCAGGGGTGACATTCCATCAAACCTACATATACATCATTTCCAATTTTTGTTATTGAAAGCACCACAAAACACCGATAAAAATTGAAAAACAGTTGCATTTATGTAAACAGGTATTAACGAACTAAAGTCAAAAATTATACTTTAGCGTCATTAGGATTGTATTTTTAAACAAGGTGCGTTTACACAGCCATATATCATGCTCAAGATTCCAATATATTCATCACAATGTAATATGTTATTCAATCTTCAGTGTTTTGACTGGTGTAATGTGTATTTCCTATACATCCGTTTTTTTATATAATTCTTCCTCGTGTGTTCTTTTAGAAATTGTACGCTCTGAACATGCTGCCAAAACTGCCTCTAAGAGTTCCAGCGACATTGAAGGTAATGTAAACATTCAGCGTATGGTTTGATAGTAATTACCCGTTCATTATAATAATTTTAATGCACATCGTTTGATAAATTTTCAATATGTTAAGTGGTATAGTGTAGATTTATTTGTATGAGAAGACATATAACTTGTATTGTGTATATATGTCTTAATTTTTCACCTTAAAATTGTTGGTTTTTTATTAGACCTCTTAAATAAGCTGAACTTTGATATGTTATTACCTTTTTTGATTTTCTTTTAAATGAAAAATATTTCACATTATCTTATTTTTATATGTTTCAAGTCAGACGATTTTAAGCTCTTATTAAAATACTTGTATCATCGTAAATATTTAAGAAAGAATTATCTATTGATACAATCATATAATGATGGTTCTTGCACCTTGATGAAGATTTGGAAATTGCACTTGTTTAATGATGGCTTGAGCAACTGTGTAAATTATGAACCTACTTTTTTACAGATTCAAACCTTAACAGAAAAAATATGATAGGTGAGTAATGCATGCAAAGTCTGTTACATAATATTCATAAACCAATCCCGTCTGATTAAATTTATTGCAATAGTTAAATTTATTGTGCATTTAGCATTTCAGTACTTGGTTTTTCTTTTGTTTTAAAACACTTGATATTGTAATTAAATGTAACGTTATAAAGCTCAGAATATATTATCTTCAAAACATTTTTGCTTACTAAATTTGTTTTGAAACGTTATTTTGATGTTTTATTGTTATATGTTACAGATGTGCACCCTAAATTTGCAAATATGATAGGTGAGTTACATTTTTATGTCTGATGACGTTACTGTTTAAATGAATCTGCTTTACGTAACTGAATACAGTATATTAATTTGGAGAGTTACCACATGTTTAATTATTGTATTATAATGAGTTTAACGATAAATATATTCTTCGTACACAACACCTACGATTAAATTCCTATACAATGAGTCAGTTTATCAAAATGGTATACATCTACGTATGTATGTAATTTTATGAAAGATTTCTAGCAAAAGTTTATTTTGGTATTCGATGCCCTGGTTATCTTCAGTGATATAAGTACCTAATTGTATGTATATTTTTCCACAAATTCCTGTTAAAATCTATATGATATTTTAAAGAAATAATAATTGTCTTTGAAGAATCTACCAAATTGATGCTGAAAGAAGAAGGAAACAAAAAACTGTGGGTTGACACCAAAGGTTTCGTCGAAGCAAAGAAAACGCTGTTGGAGAACGAGCTGCATGTAGTCATAATCAAGGGAAACTCAGGAGATGGGAAAACTTCGATTGCATGTCAGCTACTCCGAGAGCTGTGTACATGTACGACTGAGGCGGATGGTAAACGACGAAGAGGTAGGCAACCACTAGAACTTAACTACATCAAAGACTTGGATAAGCTGGCTAACAAATCACATTTGGCTATATTTTTGGATGATTTGTTTGGAAAGAATGTTGTGTGTAAAGAGGATTTGAAAGAATTGAAGAAAATAGAAAGGCATCTTCTTTCGAAGCTTCGCGGGGTTGAACATTCAGAAGTAAATTTTCTTATCATTACTATTCAAAGTTTGATATTCAATTCTGTGCGAAAACACTTGACTGGAAAGTTGTTCTCTGAGTCAAGCATTATTGATTTGACATCCAGCAAATATATTGATTTTCAGGACAAAACGAAACTTTTACGCAGGTATGAACCGGAACACAAGGAATTTGAAGCATGGAAAGATGATGAGGTCGACAAAATTGTCAAATTAGCCCCCGACATTGGTTTCCCTCAGTGTTGTAGGCTATTCAGAGATTCGCCAACACTACAAAAAAAGAGAGTGGCTTTCTTTGAAACGCCGTTCCATTTTTTGAAATCCCTTATGACGCAATTAACGGGAGGTCATTTCTATGGTTTGGTGTACCTGTTTCTCAAAGAAGGGCAGGTAACTAAAACAGATCTAGATCCAGAAAATGAAAACCGTGACCAAACGTTATTAGACGCAGCATTTGCTGTTGATGTTATCAATGTTGACCCAACTCCAGAAGTTCTCTATAAAACGGGGACAACAGAATATGTTCAGAAATCGTTGGAACAACTGGTAGGCTTCCTGGTGAAAAATGTGGAGGTGGAAATCAGAAAACAAGACTACCAGGAATTCACAAGAGTCTGTGCGTTCAGGTTCAATCATGACTCTATAGAACAAACAGTGGCAATTTTGTATGGAGAAAAAACCCACGTCGGTTTCATAAAAAACTGCCCAAGAACATTTCTTAGTTACATAGCAACCAAAGCAACCAATAGGCACACTGAGCACAGCATAGTTTTGACCGAAGAAGAACACACAGCATTGTACTCACGTTTATTGAGAGAATTTGACGACATTCGTTTAAAATACCAAGAAGTTGCTTATAGTGACATATGGTATTTGTACCATTGCATTACTTTGATGGATGTATGGGCCGATATCAATTTCATGAAAGGGTTTCTTGGATGGCTTGATGATGAAAAACGTGACGAAAAATTGAGCAAGTGGATCAGACTTACCCTGCTGAATAAATCTTGTTCTAATGGTGCAAATGAGTGTGCATTATATCTTCTTCAGAAGGGTGCAACACCTGATGCACGCACGCACAGTTTTGTGATTGAAGGAGACTGTGTTGATGTCCTGAAGAAAATTGACAGGGATTTGATCAACGTTACAAAAACCGACTTGTTGAATGAAGCATGCTCAATGGGTTCGGAGAAATGTGCTTTGCATTTGTTATCAGAGAGTGAAATCAATAATGACACACCGTTTTGCGTGGTGGAGGGGGGGAGGTCGAGAGTTTTGAGACAAATGCTTCCTGATATCAAGGAGGAAATTAGAGCGAAGGAAACAAGGGCACCAAATCGTCTTGCACTTAATATAAATGTGCTACATGAGGCATGCCTGTTTCAAAGAGAAGATATGGTAGAAATGCTGTGTGATAGAATACCAAACATGATATTTGGTACTACTTCATGGGGTGAAAGTGTGTTCCATCTCGTTTCAAAAACAGGGAACTGCAACGTGTTTCAGGCTTTGGAGAAAAAAATGTTTAAGTACCTTCATTTTGTTAAAGATGAACACCAAATGTGTGATTCAGAAGGTAGTGATACGACACACAAGAAATGTGCGCATGAGCAGTACATGTGTGAGCTGGAGGATGTTGATGGTGTAACGGTGTTACATCAGAGTTGTATAAGTGGAGTCAAGGACCTGTGCATGTATCTTTGTAAATGCTATCCAGCACTTACTAACGTACGGGCCGCAGACGGTCGTCATTGTCTACATTATATAGCAGAGAATACATCAGATGTGGCCTTGTTCGAAGAATTTGAAACTTATGTGAAACAGAACATGGAATCAATAGGGCAGACGTATGACATCACAAGCATCAAAGACAATCAAGGGCAAACCATTTTCGACAAAACAAAATCAAATGCAAAGAGAAGGAAAAGGAATGAATTGAAAACCAATCCTTTAAATGATTATATTGCCGACATCTGGCCTTCAGCTGCGACATCCAATGACAAATGAATCTCAATGGAGTCGAATATAATCCCAGCCGAAATCTTTCTAGTCATTTTCTAGGCTGTAAAAGTAGAATGTGCTAGATTGTTACAAGTAGTTACCTTCAACAACCAAACTTTATTTCTTTTCTCTTCTAACAGAATATTTCCCGATACAAATCTAAAAAAGTTTTGTTTATGTTGAACTTTCACTTTAATGGGCTTCCGTAAATTACACTCCATGTGGTATAGCTAATTAAATATGAAATAGATAATGCATATGGAAACAGAATTTGCCTTAAGGAAATTCATCTTTCAGAATAGAATGGTGTCGTTTGATCATACAATTACTGTTTAGAGAACATATTTTAGGAAAAGGCAACGAAACGTTTATCGGACTGTCACAGTTAGTTATCTGCGAAAATGTCGCATATATTGAATTGCATTCTCGTCGGATTGACATAAGGTGGACATTATTGATATGATAAAGGTATTACTAATGTAACAAGAGAAGAAATATCACCGCCGGACTGCAATTTGAACCCGGGACCTACTGAAATTTAGGCGGTCACCGGTGATTGATTCAATCCATCTCCGCTACATTTTCCCCTCTGCATTTTCCCCACTTTCTAAGTCTTTGCCCCCGAAGACAACAATATTCACTACAACGGTTCCTGTATCCCCATGCCAGTCACTCATCCAGTATTTGAAACAAAGGTTGGTAACGGCACGATATAAACACAAATGCACCGCAAGAACGGTTCCGAACCAGAAACCTTCCGCAATTAAAATGGACGCTCTGATTGATTGAGCTGCGTGGTCGCCGGCGACCTATCTTGTTAAGCTCCGCTACATTCCTCTCTCTTCTCCCCTGAAGACAACAAGCCAGGTTTGGGTTTCCGATCGTTATTTAGGTTTAAGGTCCTCACGACAGCCATTGTCATAGGAGGACGGGTGCCTAGTGAGACACAGCCTGAATCTGAAATGCAGACAAAAAGAAGAAGATAGGAACCAAAACTTGTTGCAATTGAAGAGAATAATTGATTAATTACGGAGGACATATCAGTCGCCTTTTAACGATGATCATGCAGTGAGATACAGCAGGTATATTCTTGATTTCTTCAATGTCCCCAAATAGAAGACAGGGAAGAAAACACTGGCACAGTAATCGTATCTTACAATTATGCATTGGGATACAGCATGCCTATTCTTTCAACACACAAGAGGTTCGGGTATCGCCATGATAAACATTCATCCAGTACTTGACACAGGGGTTGGTCACAGCACCACTTTACCATAGTTCGAACCTGAAACCTTACGAAATCTAGACAGCGATCGACCTAATCCCTTTCCCCTACATTTGCATAGATTTTTGGAAAAAAGGTCTTCATAGAACCGACTCGGAGGAGTCTTGGCTGTATATCTCACATTTCATCAGTATCACCCTCGAGTTACATTTCATCAGTATCACCCTCGAGTTACATTTCATCAGTATCACCCTCGAGTTACATTTCATCAGTATCACCCTCGATAACTCTTAAGAAATGTAATTTGAAGACGATGTTCTGTCAGGTTTGTTTGATGGAATACATTAAGCCACTTACCCGTACGTGTCCCAAAATGTTACAGAGCTTGAACTCGATAGTCAAATCTGATAGATGAATAACATAGTGAATATCCGAGTAAACCACACTTGGTTGAATTATTAAGTGAAGACAACATGTGAATGTTACCGCTCATAAGGCCTAAAGTCTCCCACTCATTTAAAAAGTATTGCTTGTACAGAAAGGACGTTGGTCAAAACTTTCAATGACATGGATTTGAAGACTTCAAACAGAATTGCTGATAGTTTTAGTATTCACCTTTCAAAATAATGAAAGATATATCTGGGTTTTAATTGGACAGGTTTAAGCGAGAAACAGAAAAAACGTGAGCGTAGTGTATGGGTCTAAGATGTAAGATTTTGATGAGTTGTACGTGATGTCACGCTGTTCGTGTGTTTTTGCTTAGAATTGTATTCAATATTTTCATCTTTTCCTGTTAGCGAGTTTAAAGTATTGTGCTGTCTATGATTTGTTTTTTTGTTGTTTTTTTATTCATCGGAGTTAATGTGTATATAAGGAACATTGTTTAAAAAAAAATTCTTCAGTGTTTTACTTATTTGTTTCATTCTGTATCCCTAAAAAAATGTGCATTTATGTAAATAACGGAATCTCCAAATGAGTATGTATGTTATGAGTTACCATGGAAACATAATATGAAAAACAAATTATATTTAGCTGATGTAGCAAGGTTATCACGATCACAAAAAGTTTTGACGAATATATATGTTTGTCTATGAGATTCAGCAGATCACGAGTACGTGATTAACAGTGTTTAACCAAAGCAAACTTACCTTCCAATTTCTTGAAATGTTGATAAGGTATAATGAGACATATAGACATTGTCTAATATTGTTATATGGTGTGGGTTTCCTGCAATTTAGATACATATTTGTAAAAAGAGAAATCAGCTTAAAAATAATTTGTTACAAACAATGTACGAGCCAAATGCATCCTAGTAAAAGGTACAGTTAATAGAAGAATGATTATAGTGTAGAGTCTAGTTCGTGCAATAGGATAAGCGGTGTCAACTAATTATGTATTATCTTGTTAATTGAACTTATATTTCAGATTTTTGTGTTTCAAATTATGCATTCTTCCGAGAATTGTCCATGTATATAATGATATAGTTGTATGTCTAGATATGAAGGATTTGTAAGCTGGGCTATGACTGAAAAACGAGCATGCTTGTTAGCAGGGAGGTCTGACGAAAACAGTACTTATGAAAAATAAACGTTTATGTATGTGTTAGAGTGTGATGGCAGAATGTCTACAAAGAGAAGGCTTTAGATTGATAGAAGTAGATCTTTCTAAATGAGAAGTTTGCTAGTTGGGCTTTGACAGTATGGATTGGGATAGTCATCTGTGAGCATTGTATACATGTATACCATTTCTTATCAATCTAAAACTTTTAAGTTTAGATTTTCAAATATTTTACAATCCATTGTTACCTATTTTTGATAATGACATTTTTTTTTTTTTTTGATGATTAACTATTTATAGTTTTTGTCTGATCGGTAAATATTATACATGTTCAAAAAGAACAACAAATTATTCTTGTATATATATTCATTTTAAAATCTTGTAACAATCAGGTGGTTTTTTTTTTGTATTTTGTATATAAAATTTGACGAGCTTGCAAATGTTCAATTTAATGTTCTATTTTAAATTGAATTGTTTTTTATGTATAATAGTAATTGTCCTTTATTGGAGAATTGAAATGTTAATGGTTCATGCAATTATTAGATAGTGGTGTGCTTTTAGGGGAAAAGAAAAACAGGTTGTTACCGGTAAACAGTTAACTGTATCTATCCTGGTCAGATGTCCCTTAAAATGTAGTTTGTGATTGGGGGAAGATCAATCCATCCTTCCAAACTTAGTTTTCACATGATCAATTGCTTAAATATTGCTCGATTTTGATAAAAATAGTAACTATGAATGTTATAAAAAGACGTATTTAGTGTCCTGTGCTCTGATTGGTCTTCGGTTTCCACAAAATAACCGGCTTAAATATTGTAAGATTTTGTTAAAACGTGGCAACCATGTGGCATAAAAACTAGTTTGAACTAGCGAGAAATTCGCGCATAAAGAATTGAAGTACTGTGTTACATTTGTATGATGGGTCGATTTCCTCACTTTAGTTTCCGCAAGATAACTTGTTTCAATATTGTTCAAATTTTATGAAACCTCCTTATTTTGGACAATACACAACAACTGAGGCGTAGTTTGAAGTTAAGCAAAATCTACGTATAGCTTATTAGCATACTGGGTTATGATTGAATTATTGTTCTGCCAATAACTTTGTCAAGTATGACTAATATTTAACTAAATTTTGTCGTGTTATACAAAAAAAACCCACCCAGATATATAAAGGAAGATACATGCCGGAGTAAGAAAATATATACAACCGAATCTGTATAAACTGGACACTGTCCAATCCGGATAGTTGTCTTAACCGGCCACATGCTTGGTCCATGGAATTTTTTTCTTTCAATATAGCAATTAAATTCTTGCTAATCTGGACTCTTTCTGTTCTGTAAACGGGCCTTGTATACCGGTCTTTACACTTCTTTACACTAGTAAATCTACTCCGTGTTTCCCTTCCTTGGGTGTCATTCTGGTCTAGTACAAGTGTTTATACAGTATCAAGTACTATACAGGAAAGTAAACGGTGTTACACTCATTGTCACCTTAACAAACACATATTACTTATAATAATACACTATCTAACATAATTTACCATTGTCCTATTGACATAGTATGTGTTGGTCAAGTTAGTTGTTCTGCTCATACATGTATCCCTGACAATGGACGGAATGATAACTGAATGTATCTTAGGAATATTATTTCGCTTATCATTACTGCAATCACAAAAATTTAATTATTGCAGTATTATTGATGAATGAGCAGAAGTACACATACTTATGTCAGATGCACTAGATTTAGCATTATATATTACTATCTTTATCATGTATATTTGTAAAAGCATAACCCCAAAAGATTTTCGTAAAAAAGGCCTTTTTGGCACAGATCAATTTCAAGGTTATATTTTATGGAATAGGTGAATAGGTGTTTTGATAATGAACGCCCTCCTGAAATGTCATTATATTTATGTACCAATGTGTATAAGTATTCAGGTTTATATGAATCAGATATAAAATTATGTAGTAATCGGTATAAAGTGTTATATTTGCAGATTTAAGATGTGTTTTGAATGATTGACTTGGCAAGCACTTAATTTGTGAAAACAGTTCGGGTTATGTTATAGCTATTTGTTAATTTATTGATTTTGAATGACAAGATCAAACAGTTCGGAATTGATTTATCATTAATTAAATATGTGTGCTGTCAAACATAAGATAACAGATTATTATAGTATGCTTATTACAGAGGTCACTGATATGAAAGTACTAAAAAAAAATTGTTTATAGGACAAGAAAATACAACAAATGTCTTGCATTACTTTCAAAATACACAAAATGTGGGTGAAAACTGACAATAATCAGTTTAAAAAATTGAAAATGTCGATTCTGTTCTTTACAATTTATTATTTCCGTTTGAATAGAAAAAAAGAGAGAGAAATCAATAAACTTCGCTGGGTGGATTCGAACAGCAATGTTTCCATAGTGACACTAAAAGGCAAACACTTTGCATTATAACGCAGCCACAAAATGTGAATTTCTGAACAAAGCTGTAAGTCATGTTACATGTACGCCATTATAAAAACAACAATTATTTGAATGCATTGAATTTGATATTAGTTATACAAATCGTAATGCTGTCAAATAGCGAAGACAATCGGCTTTTTAATAAATGTTTTGTAGACAAATATTTATCATGACGTCATAAAATATTATAGGCCTTTTTGCTTTTTCACGGCAGGCCTTAATATTTTAACGATATTTTCATGTCATGTCTTAATATTTTCATAATATTTTTCATTTCTTGTCAAAAGATTTTGTGATAGTTTTATTTTAATAAATATAAATATTTTGAAACACAGAAATTTATTATTTTTTGTGTAGTCATGTCTACTAGAAAAGCATATAACACTATAATGTATGCAACGACCGTAGATTCAACCTTTTAGCATAGTTCAATACTAGCATTTATTCAGTCCATACAAGATAACCAATGAAACCAATTGGGACCTTCACCATATCGCATGCACATAATTTATAGAATAATTTTACACGTAATACAGATATTTATTTCATCAACTTTTAGGACATTGTTTATTCTTTGTAAGCCCTTAATTTAACGATACTACTCTTCTATAATTTACGTAAATTTCTCCTCTTTGCGCTTTTTAGGATTCCTCTATCACCTTCTAGGAAGAGAAATATAGCACTTGGAAGTCAAGTTTACAATGACATCACGTGAGCAATACATTGATACGTCACAATCAGCTTTCAACTGGATAATTCATTTGTAAATCTGGACAAAACAGATGAAATATGCTGAAAACCAATTTTTTTAAACATTTTAAATGATGAATCATTCAATACAGTAAGGTATTTCGGGAAATCTC